TAATGTGTCTGCGTGTATAACAGAGCTCCACAGCAATAATACTCCCAGTAATGTGTCTGAGTGTATAACAGGGCTTCACAGCAATAATACTCCCAGTAATGTGTATGAGTGTATAACAGAGCTCTACAGCAATACTACTCCCAGTAATGTGTCTGAGTGTATAACAGAGCTCCACAGCAATAATACTCCCAGTAATGTGTCTGAGTGTATAACAGAGCTCCACAGCAATAATACTCCCAGTAATGTGCCTGAGTGTATAACAGAGCTCAACAGCAATATTACTCCCAGTAATGTGTCTGAGTGTATAACAGAGCTCCACAGCAATAATGCTCCCAGTAATGTGTCTGAGTGTATAACAGGGCTCCAGAGCAATAATACTCTCAGTAATGTGTCTTTAAACTACAATAAATGAGTTTAGAAATCAGTCTGTGTAAATAAGATACATTGTTTTTGTTCTAAATTACAATAAATTGTTACTAGTAATTCACCTAAAATATCTCTGAACAGCCCCGCCCCGGCCAACCCTCAACCCCATTTTATTTTTGTTGCTGAAGGATGCTAGCAATTACAGGGACACAAATGTGTTTTACACCCCACCTCCTGTAGACTGTAAGCTCGTTTGAGCAGGGTCCTCTCCAACCCATCGTTCCTGTAAGTTTTCTTGTAATTGTCCTATTTATAGTTAAATCCCCCCTCTTATAATATTGTAAAGCGCTACGGAATCTGTTGGCGCTATATAAATGGCAATAATAATAATAATAACAATAACTAGAATATAGACACCCAGACCACTTCAGACAAACCAAAAAAGAAAAACACAGGTTGTGCCAGGTTCCTTTTTTTAACCTGTGCTTTTTTTGTTTGTTTTTTTGTCTGTACTTGTTATCATGGTTTTAAGGGAATTCTCCTACTTGTGTACAGTGTTTGCAGCCATATTGAGCCATCACTGATTGCCTAGCTATTATCCATATTTGTATTTATACATTCCTAACCAGACCAATTCATCTCATTGAAGTGGTCTGGGTGCTGCGTCCCTGTTATTATTATTATTATTATTATTATTTTATTATTTATATAGCGCCAACAAATTCCGTAGCGCTGTACAATGGGTGGACTAACAGACACATAATTGAGATCAGACCACTGACGTACAGGAACAGAGGGGGTTGAGGACCCTGCTCGATGAGCTTACATGCTGTTCACCTTAGTCCTGCAATGTAAAACATTGCAGAGGCGCTTCCTGTAGTTGAATCTGTGAAACGACGCTGGACGTCTTCACGCTCTGCATGAGGGCATCCAGCGTCAGAGAAAACTCCAATGCTTTCCTACCGGTATGCACATTAGATCCCCCCCATCGGATGATGTTTTAGGAGGCGGTGCGCGAACCAGCGCCAACGAGGGCGGGGGTGAGGCAACAGGGAAGGTACAGAGGCCACTCTAGTGTTAGGAATACCACTTTGTATTCCTAAAACTAGTTTTCCTTTGAAGATTTCTTGCCATGACAGGGTCACCTTAATAATTGTCACCACACCGTTTTATGATTTATTTTATTAAATTCATATTTCTAAAAGTTTCACAGGAAAATACCTGCAAACAGGAATAAATCCAGGAAGTATATTCCATGTGAAGTAACAGTTAAAACAAAGCATAGATTGAATTGTTTATCTCGATGAATCACCAATGTTTAAGAAACTAGGACCAGAAATAACAGGAGGTTGTAGTTGTCACAGTCATTGTTCCTCATTTTTTTTTTTTTTTTTTATATTATGTTGTTTTTAGTGTATACGTAGTACTTTCCCTAGAGACGGCATGTTAGAACAATAAATGCATTGCGTTTCCAGAAACTATAGTGATTTTTATTTGGACACCGCATACAAACAAACAAATTATGACTTTTTTTTTCTCAATACAGAAATTATTACTCTTTTAGTGCTGTAATCCAGCATTCTATATAAATCACTTTTCTTCAAAAACAAACAAAAAAATCATTTAAAAATTTTAAGCAAGAAAAAATACATACAGTGAAAATTCTTGCTGTAACCATCCATTAGAAATGCAATCCAGCAGTTTTTTTTCATTACATACATATACACAGGGTTGGACAAAAAGTTTTAAATGAGACCCCAAGCACCAGAACAACAATATATTATTGCAGTGGTTATTGTGTAAGGAGTCTTGATGTGCAGTTCCTCCCCCCCCCCACTGTTTTTGCATATTGTCCCCCTAATATCTGCTACGCAATGCCCTGCCGCTTGGCCATCACTGAGATAATGGGAAAGTATCTATTCTGCATTACCCAAATTTGGATGGTGACTTAGCTCTACACCCCCTACAAAATTATTACCGTCTACGTTTGGAGTGAATAGCTTCTCTGTCATCTTGGTGGTAGCGGAGAAGGAGAGCTTTGGGTGCCGATGGAGATTGAACACATGTTGGCAAATATTGTAGAAACTCAACCCGAAAACTCCTTGCACTATTACTACCATGACAAATGTGCGTGATAAAACACAATTCTATTTGGAATTCATTTGCGCACAATATCTATGTATGAGACTTATAACTTGGCTTAATGAGCAGAAAATCAGAATTCACGGGCATAACAGAATATGGACAGAATATGAATGGAATCTTTATTTTACCATATCATCCAGCAAAGTTAACTTCTGATATTGAGAAAGCCAAATGATACATTCAATTCAATGTGTCCTGTCAGCTACTAAATATGGTAGAGGATCCATGACAGTAAAGTTAGCCATAGTGTGCGATCCATTAGGTCGAATGATAGTTCTGTAAAGACATTTAATCGATTAAAAATATGCTGCCATTTTACAGGACTACACACCCCTTGTTGTGTACACTGTTTATAATGTTCCCTAATCCAGTATTGGCAAAAATAATGGGGGTTTAGTTACATTATATGATCATACATTGCATAAGCCTGCCACAACGTCAATCTCAAAAGATGGGGTAAATTGACGTTGTGGCAGGCTTATGCAATGTATGATCATATAATGTAACTAAACCCCCTTTATTTTTGCCTAGATTAGGTGTTTTTTAAAAAAACTAATAAAATCTGTCAACATTGAAGTTGCTGTTTAGTGGATAGGTGAGTGAGCTGGATCTTGTGTATTGTATAAATTGGCCCCCAGCAGCACCCCATTTATGTATGTTCAGGTGAGTGCAGCCCCCTGGTTTCATTTATATACCCACTGACTTCAGAAGGAATGTGTTTTCAATCACTTTTTTCCCCACCATAACTTTCTTGGTTTCTCATCCACGGCTCTAACGCCAAGCCTCACTAGCAAGCCAGTAATCAACCTCATGCTGATGAGTTGCATTAACAATGAAACAGCTGTCCATGAGTGGCTCCCTTTTGTATACAGCAAACATAAACTACAAAGGAATCCATGTTTAAAATGGAAAGAGGCAAAAAGGTGATTCTTTGTTAATTGCATCAGGTAGATAGCCACCTTTTTATACCAGGCTTTTGATTTTCTTAAAATAAGGTATGGCTGCATCAGCTGATCAGCCAAATCTACACCCGCCATGTGCCTCTTATAAGCCCTGATGCAAACAGGTTTGGAATGTACTCTGCCTCGGACAGTGACGTCTGACATGCTTTCGTCATGGATTGTGGTTAGCATGTTAACATCCTTCCTGTCCTTAAATTTTATTGCAAGCAGTTCAGCTTTGCGCAGAGCTTTACATTCACCTTTTTTAATTTGGCTTCTATGAGAGGTCTGGGGAAATCTTTGGAATTTTTTTCTCACAGTGCCACAGGCCAGTGTCTGCAAACCATAAAGAGTTTTAAACAAACAGACACTGCTATAAAAAAAGTGTCCACATAAACCTTTATTGAACAAGAGAATCAGTAGGTCCCAAACAATTTTCCCACTTGTCCACAGAGAGTCAGGACAGCCAGGAGGGTCCAGTCGACCATCTTTCCCCTCATATACGCTCTTGCACAGTTTGTACAATTTTACGCCATACCTAGTGCGATTTGAGGGGATATACTGTCTGAACCCTAAACTCCCTTTATATTTCATTAAGGATTAATCAGTTGATATATTTTGTTGGGGAGTATAAACTTCTGAAAATTTGTGCTGAATATGGTCTACCAGTGGATGTATTTTAATCATATTGGGGGTGATCACTGGGGTGACAGAGGGTATTGTAATTAAAATGTAAATAGCTCAGCAGCAACTCATATCTTGCTCTAGACATGGTTTGGGAGTACACTGGACTAGAACAGATAGGGTTGGTACTCCGGTAAGAGCAAATTGATGGCTTCTTTAAATCCCCATGAGAATTGTAAGAGCCCAGAATTTTTTAAGTTCAGGGACATCTGTGGGATGCCAAGCACGCTCCTCCCTGACATGCCTAGCTACCTGGATTGGTATTAATAAATCGGGTAGCATATAAATTAGTCAGGGAAGCAATCTCCTACCAGATGGTATCGCCTAAAAATAGCTCCATATATTGCAATGGGGGAAGTCATGCTCATTGAACCGTCCTGAACCGTCATCGGTCCTTAAGGGGTTAAAATATATGTAACCCATAAACTTACACGTACAGATTTAATTTTTAGTAAGACTGCCACAGAGCCTCTTGGGATGTTAAGGTTTGATTCAGTTAATATGCACCATAGTAAGGCAAAAGTGGGCATGTGCCAGTTGCACCCCACCCCTGGACTTTGCCTTCCCTTTCATTTAATTGTGGCTTTGACCCCCTCCTCCCCAGAAATTGTCAGTGGAAATCCCTGGTGACTCATTCTTTTTTTTTTTTTTGCCAATTGCAATTAGTTATCCCACATCTGTTTATTCTTGTCCAACCCAGGCTACTAGCCACCGATGATTAATACCAGAAAAGTATTTTACCCACTCTCTAAGACCATGTGACACCACACCCATAATTTCTCAACACTGCGCTGCGGAATATGTTGGCGCTATATAAATAATTATAATTCTAACTCCAGACTTCCTTTGGAACTAAAATGTAGCCACACGACAGCTGCCACTCCTCAGAGTGCAGTACCCCTGTGCCACCAGCAGGGGCGCACTGTAGTAAACTGGTGAATAAGTGGGTGGTGGCTCTAATTTTATTGCTTTGAGCACAGTGAGCTGAAGTCTCAGAGCTGTCTCTGCTTTGCTACATCTGCAGGATCCCAGTCTCTCTGCACAGAGGTAGATTATCAGGTAGGTGCCCTTTGCTAAACCCTCCATTGTTTCTCTATGGTGTATTTGCATCCCTCACCCACCTTCATGGACAGGAGGAGGGTGAATCTCTGCTTTTTTTTTTAATAATTGCACAGCCAGTCACAGCCACACTGTAACATGGGGCATGGATTATATGAGATAAGGAGAGGAATAATCTGGATACATTGCATCCTGCACAGTTATTGCATGCACTAATCTTTAAAGGGACAGTGCATGCAGAATAAACAGTCTTTGTGGTCCCTGATAGGAGGGGAGGAGGGGCAGAGGGTTCAGAATCCTTTGTAATAAACAGAATTAGATGAACATTTCTTGTGAAATTAAAAGTTTAAAGAAGCATTGCCTTTTTTATAATCACTACATTTAATCCATATATAGGCATGAATTCATATCCTGCTACTACTGCTGATGTGATACTACTTGCCACTGTTGCATGGTTACTTTAAAACTCTGCATGTGAAGTCTGTGTGTGTGTGGCATGTGCCAGGAAGAGGGTGGGCACTGGCCTCTAATCTCATGGACCCCAATGCTCCATCACACTCACTGGGCAGATAGGGGGAGGTGACAACCTCTGCTCAAAATAGCCACAGTCACTTTGTAACTAAGCTGCTGCAACACCTCTTCTTTGAGGCAGCAGCTGGAATGAAACCAAAACCACCGCACATTATACAATGGAATGACACCCAGCAGTCAGATTCACCGAGAGGGGCTGCAGTAGTTTTCGCTTGCTAAAAAAATAAAAATAAAATAAAACCAGTGTGGTGTTGGGATAACATATTTTTTTTTTAAATTAATTCTGTTTGTATCTACTGTCATTATTTATTATATGCATGGGAGGAGTTATAAATCCTGAGTTTATTTAATCCTGTAAGTGGCAGGTAGGTGAGCAACACGTAGCTTGGCAGATAATTATAAAATGATTAAATAGCAAAAACTAACCGGGGTATTAACTAAAATAGCGAATAGCTAGGAATTCATTGAGAGCTAAAATAGCCAACTTGGAAAAATTCTTCCAGACAGTTGTTTCTTTTTTTTTAATCTATTTTGACCCTAAAAATCCAGGTCCTTGGTGAATTCGTTTATAACCGTGTACTGTAAATGGGCTCCTTCTGGCTATAAACATTGTTAGATTTTTTTCGTTCGTTTATAAAGCGGCGACATGTTATGTAACTCTGATAAATCATGCATGGGGTTTAAATACAGCAGAACTGTAGATATTTTGTCGACTACGAATAAAAGTCGGCAGTGTTGTGAACTGCCACTCACAAAATGCTCAGCCAGCACTTAGGATAGGTCTGTCTATGATTGACATTCCCAGCCAGCCGGAATACCAACGCCAACGATTAGCCGGCCCTGGTATAAAGTATTCAAGCTCAGTGGTTACTTTGAATAGGTTTAATTGTAATCATACCTCCTGAGGGACTGCTTTGTGCAAGGTTTGAAGTCTCGGGATTTGGGCAGAGCCCCAGGTGATTTCAGAATGTGACTCAGAAACCACACCTTGACTCGCTGTCATTACAGGAACAGTGCTGTCTGACAGCTTCTAGGCCGCTTGAGAGGGCTTCATCTTTTTGCATTGGACTTAATTTAAAAATAAAATAAAATATAACTAAAATATAATAATTTTAAAAAGAAAAATGTGCATGTTTATTTATTTTACATCATTCTTACATAATACAAACTATAATACAACGTGGATAGGCAAAAGATATAATCCATAGGGGCAACAATCCATATTTAACAATGTATCAATGCTACAACAAAAAATACTCACATTCGATTTTAATTTTTTAAAACTATATTAAACTACCAAAGTTCCCCAGCATTGTATTGCTTCCATTGTTCCGTGTATTGATTCCATATCGGTAATGCGTTATAAAGCTGCTATAGTAAAAATATGCAAACTAATTTAAAAAACAAAACAAAAACCACAGTCCATTTATTGTAAGTAGAGTTGCTGCATTTGCACTGACAAGTTACAACAGCAGATATCACCACTAGTGATGTCCCGAACGGTTCGACGAACGGTTCGCCACGGACTCATCATTGAGCAGCAGACCCTCCCTCCCACCTCCTGGACAGCATCCATTTTACATTCATTGTGAAGCTGCATTCTTAGTGAGCTGAGGTGGGAGGGTCTGGGAGGGGGGGTCTGCTGCTGATTGGCTGGAATGTGTCTGCTGACTGTGAGGTACAGGGTCAAAGTTTACTCAATGATGAGTCCGTGGCGAACTGTTCGTGTCGAACCGTTCGGGACATCACTAATCACCACCCCAAACCAGGAAGAGGATTCACCAATTAGAATCCTGCCATTCTGGTTAATTCATTCTTTAAAACAGCAGATGGTTTATGGGATCTATTATTATTATTTATAAACCGCCAACAAATACCGCAGTGCTGTACAATATATAGCTGCAGTTACTTTGAGCACATTGGATGAGTGGCAATGCTGGGTAAGCTGACTGTGGCCACACTGTAGCGGTTATCAGTAAATTAAAGGGCATGCTAGTAGTTTTGTGTACTGGACTATATACCGCGTTTTCATGAACCGCAAACCACGCATGTACACTGGCTGTACACACAAGATGGACGGATTTGGTTGGCTTACTTTGACGTCAGAGATTGAAGTTGAAAGTTTAGATTTGTACGATATTTGCAAACCTCCAAATTCATAAGCAAGGGGCACCCAGACTTTTGTGATCTGCTCCTGTTCATAGTTTTCGAGTGTGTGAATGCGGCTGCACTCATATTTTGTGGCTGATACTCTGTTCCTGGAGCCTCTGCTGGCTTCCTTCTCTCCCACGGTTACAAGCATCATGGTCTGACTGATTGACCAAGGCCAGCGAGCCGTAGACGACGATCAACCTTTTGGGGAACCCTGTTATAAGCCATTGTGCACAGGGAACCAGTAAAAGGGAACCTCCTTGCACCATAACTTATGTAATAATCCATCGCATTCTAAAATATATAGAATGAGAGGACAAACACCTCCTTAAATGAAAACGCAATGAAGTTGAAAAGAATTGTTCAGTGATTTGGTTGTGCTTTTTGCAAAGTGATTTATTGGACAGAAACCCGGAATATGACATTATTTTTGTGCAAGTTTTACGTTAAAATGGTAATTTCTCCTTATGGCCAATATGGCGGAGCAGAGACTTACAGGTTTGTTTAAAAAAATTTGAATTATCAGATATTTAAAGTGAATTTCACATTTAATGCCAAGGTAGCCAAGCTTGAAAAATGTTCACGTAAATGGCTTCCGGTCTGGCTACTTTGAAATGAATTTGGAACTCCAGATAATTCTCTATTTACTGAATAACCCTGTAGGTTGCATTAAACCTATTAACCCTTTAATAAGCCATTCATGAAGACGACTTTGTGAAGCAGAGCAGTGATTGATAACTGTGCCGTCCATGTTTACTGATTCAGTACATATAGATATTGTTAGTTATTTTAGGTTATTTTTTTTTTAAGCTGCAGGGAAGGGTGGTGTCCCCTGGGATTCTTCGTCCAGTCTCCCGCCCCTGTGTTATTAGGATACGAGGCTGCATTAAGACCAGCTGTTAACGTTAGGCCTTCGGTTGCGGGCCAAGTAGTGCTGCCAACATTTTTCAAGGGGTATATTTATCATTGTCGCACGATCGCTGTGCATCTGATGGGAAGCTTAGATAAACATACTTTTAGTGCTGATGTGAACCCGGCCCTTCTTTATTTATTTGCTTTGCATGGAACTGGAACTAAATGATTATTGCTTTTCATTTGAAATGTCAAATATTAAACATTGATGTTGCGAAAATGTATAATTTTTGCCCCCCCAAAAAATGGGGCAGGTTTATAGAAGTAGTGAAATTAACAGAACCAAATAGAAGATCCCATTGTTTTAAAAAGAGACTGTTTAACTTTTAGAACTTAGCTACAGTGTTTGTTTTATACAGTTATATAAATCTTCTTCAAACTCTGGCGCAATGTCAGTCCCAGAATTCCCTGACAGGGTGATTCACAAAAATTAGAATAATCAGGAATTCAAAGTGATTTCATATTTAAGGCCACAGTAGCTGAATGGGAAACATTGCTTTTCTGCTAATTTGGCCTTAACTTTGAAATTCACTTTGAATTGTTGATAATTCTCACTTAAAGGGACACTATAGGCACCCAGACCACTTCAGCTCATTGAAGTGCTCTGGGTACAGTGTCCCTATTGCACTTAGTGCTGCAATGTAAAACATTGAGGTTTTAGAGAAACTGCAATGTTTACATAGCAGCACTGCGCCTGCCTCCAGTGGCTCTCCACTAGGCAGCCACTGGAGGCACTTCCTGGTGCTTTGTATTCCTGGCACTATAGTATCCCTTTAAATGAATAAGTTATTAAGTGTCCTTACCTCAGTCACAATAGCTAAAGTGACCATACTGCCTTTAAATGAGGAATTCTTATAGATAATACATGCAGCATGGCATTATTGTAGTCTTGCAGTGTGCATTTCCGAATGCATGGCGAGTAATTCATTAGACTGTATCCATAATTACAGTAACTTAATAAAACCGACACTTAAAGGAACGCTTCGGGCATCAGCAACACTGCAGTACGCTGTTGTAGTTATGGTGCCAGGACTCTAGCATGTAAGCTTATTGAGCAGGGCCCTCCACCCCCACTTTTCCTGTACGTCCAGTTGTCTGGTTACAATTACATGTCTGTTAGTCCACCCATTGTACAGCGCTATGTAATCTGGTGGTGCTATATAAATAATAAAATAATAATAATAATTACCTGTGCGCTTCCCGTGGAAGTAGTCAAAAAAAATTCTAACCAGAGGGTCTTCCGCAATTTGACTCCTTACAGCCGAAAACTCTCCTTATGGAGCTTAGCCTGACAGTGTAGGATTTAGCTCATTGGCTGAGAGCAATAAAGCTGAAACTCTCAGCCAATGAGCCAGTGAAGATCCAGGCAGCGGCGCCCCCAGCGGACCCCAAGTAAGAAGTCAAACCATTAGAAACTGACTACTTACATTTGGAGAGGGCTCCAGGACACGCCTAGCAACACAACCACTACAACATGCGGTATTTGTTGTAGTGCGTGCAGTTTTTCTATAAAGAACTGGTGATTGCCGATATACCTCTACAGTAATGTATACATACGGTATATACTTAGAGTGGATCCTTTTTCATGCATTGCCCAACAGCATTGGAAAGGGATGTTTGTCTAAGAAGATGTGGTGAATCTGACAGTCCTAAATTAGAACAGTCTCCTTTTAGTCCCAGAAAGGGGTGTTACCCCCTCAATCTAACACTAATCGGGTTTGTATGAGAGTGATTGGTGATGCCTGCACCTTCCCCTTAAAATGCATCACATGCGGTGCACGTTTGATATAGCTTGATTCATTCTGTTACTAACACCCACGCTGCCTGCTGATCTGTAAGTGCTTTCTGTGTAATGTGCAAGTCCTAGCCTTCAGTAACACAAAACGTTCTGTATTGTATCACTGGCACAATTGCTGTTATTCCAAAACCACATTGAGGCAGACATTGCAATTCTAAGCATTTCTGGTGCTATGATTAATGTCCAGCCAGCATTTAAAGGAAACTGTGCTATTTAGAAACTAGTTTAGTATAACTTTATATATTTTGCAAATATTTTTTTAAAATTTATTTTTTAAATAAGATTTATGAGAGGTGTGTTTTTTTTTTTTTTGTTTGTTTTTTTTTCTCTCTAGTGCCCCCCCACTGATGCATGCTAGTATTAAATATTTATCTCGTGTGGTGATGGATGATGTCCTAACATTTATTATCTTATTTAATACTGACCACTTATTGCTGGTATATGCTATAAAATAAATGAGATAAACTCAGAAAAGTTATCTTTTTTTAAATATGCATTGCTTGCATTTATATATTCATTTCACTGTAACTGGGTTATTTACCAAATATTTACTTGCCAAGATATCAAAGTGAATAGTACATTTTAGCTTTTTTTAAAATTTATTTATTTATTTATTTATTTTGCAATCTTTTCAGTTTGACTGTCTAGATCTGAAAAATGTAAACTTGCTTATTGAATAGCCCTTTCGAAAAGCTATTAATAAAACCTATACGATATCTTGCTTGTTTAATCTGCAGCCTCTGGGCCAAACCTATTTCCTGACTTCTGTTTTTAAAGCATCAATCATGCTTTGGCTCCATATTTAGTGAGCGAGTGCTAAACACAAGCCACTTGTAAAGTAAAACAAATCAGATATTCTAATGGTCTAAAACTAAATATGATAATAAATGCTTTACTTGTGTCTTGATAAGTCAATAAATGTGTAGGCAGCCACATCTAACTGTTGGTAGGTTTTATGGGTCACTTTTATCTCCAAAAATATATTTTCTGATGTGTGATTTCAATCTTTCATATACTTCCCAAATAGCATTCATGTAAATGCAGTTCTGTAATTTATTACAACTAACTCTTAAAAAGGCTAGTAACAATTATATTTTTTTTTCAAACTTTCCTGCCCCATAGTAAATGATAACGAAAGCTTGGTATGAATGCTATTGATCTGAAAAATCAAAACTTCGTTACCCTTAAAGGGCTACTCCAAGAGTCATGACCTCTTTAGTGATTTGAAGTGGTCATGGTGCCTGGAGTCTGTATGTGCAGCTTCTTAGCTAAAAAATGCTGCACATAGTTTAACCCCTTTACTGTTGGGCATGTAACTCTGCCTCTGGGTAGTCGTTTGGGTGTCACTAGCTAACCTGGAACTAGAGTCCCGGGCTTGCTAATGTCAATGCTGTGTAACTTTTTTATTACACAGGATGTCAGTCATTGACATAACTACTACAGTGGGCTTCAGCGGTTAAGATGCATAAAGTAACCCCTTAAACCTCCATTGTGTTTGTAGCTTAGTCACCTGATACAGAATTAAAATGTAAGGTCCTATGTTACTAGGACACTAGTAAGGGCCTAGAGGAACCATGGCAGGGCTTAATGTCTGCTACTCTTTGGCCCATTCACACACTCCAGTGGCTAGTGGAAACTGGCAGGTGACTTGCCACCAGTTTCCATAAAAGCAGCTCCTATGATCATATTACTTGAAAAGTAATTAATAAATTGGACTGCTCTTTAGTGGGGGTGATCATTTAGACTGGGCATCCAAAACTAACCGTTGCACACCCAGAGCAACCCAGAATTAAGTGTTCTTGCGTGGCAAGACCACTTACTATTATCTCGCATTTATTATTCTTATTATAGCCAAATTTACCACCCTAACTCCTCCCAGTTTTTACACTACATATACCGAAACATGCAGATTGTTCCCGATCGGATTGCTATTACTTTGTGGAACATTTCGCCGAATGGTTCACGAAATATCGTTGTTTTTGTGGCGAAATTGGTCCCATAGGAATGAATGGCAAAATGTTCAAAGCTAGAGTGGGAGCTGGCAAAAGCAGAATCAGGACATGATTTCTAAACTGCCACCACTCCCTCATTTTCAAGCCCACCTAGATAAATCTTATATCAAAACGTTCTGCCACTAAACAGGTCCATGGCTAAGCCATAGTCCTGATAGTTTTCACGATACTCACGCCATCCATTGAAACTCCACTCTAGCAACCTCAGATTTGAAGGGCAATTTCTAAACTGCGACTGTGCCTTCATTTTTAATATTTCAGAGACATACTATGCATCAAAATGTAGGTCTTGTGATTCTCACAATTATAAAGCTCTTCGCTGTAGGACTTATACCACCAGTGAAGTGAGCAGTTTTTTTAACCGCTCTTCTCTGCCCTTGCTGTAGAGAGAGTTCCCATAGGAACCCAGGTGTGTGAGCAGCCAGCAGAGCATTCCGGTGTTCTATCAGTCTGCTATACTCCGTCACTTCCGGTGAGGGGAATCAGCTGGATCCTGTGCTGCACATGCGTGCTAGCACTCCTGCTACTCCTCCACAGCAAGGTCCTGGAAGGTAAGTCAAACTAGTTTTACACTTTCATTATAGTTAGTGCATTCACTAAGCTTAGGACATGGGACATTTAGGGTTAATGTTAGGGTTCAAATTAGGGTTAGGATTAGGGACTTGTTCATATTTGGTGATATTTAACATTAGGGGAATATCACTAGTGAATTCTCACACCCAAGGGTTAGGGTAAGAATAGAGTGAGAGAGGTTAGAAGCACTTACCTAACCCTAATTTGAACCCTCACTTAACCCTAAATGTCCCGTGTGCCTAAGCTTAGTGAATGCACTAACTATAATGAAAGTATAAAACTAGTTTTACTTACCTTCCAGGACCTTGCTGTGGAGGAGTAGCAGGAGTGCTAGCACGCATGTGCAGCACAGGATCCAGCTGATTCCCCTTCCCGGAAGTGACGGGGGTATAGCAATCTGACGGGGTACAGCAGACTGATAGAACACCGGAACACAGAGGCTGCTAGATGAAACATTCTCTAAACTGCTGTCACTCCTACAGTTTTGATAACACAAGTGAGCACTATCACATTTAATAAATATATTTCCACGTTAGTCAATTCGTTACACCTGTAACAGAAAAACACTAACATACAATGTTACAACAATACAGCTAATTAATGTTTCATAAAGTTACTCTGTCCGGTCCAACCTTTCCAGTTACTCCAGCCACTCCAACTAAAGTTACTCAAGCTACTCTGCCCACTCCAGTTGTAGACTACTGGTGGAGGCAAGAACACTTCACACACTTTCCCCAGAAATTGTAGCTTTTCTAGTTTTGGCTCTTCCGTTCTGTCTACAGTGCATGGACCGGGTAATCCACTAAAGTAAGATTTGTTAATTCAATTGGGAGTAGGAAGTCTTGATCTAATTGACACTTTCTTACTCCAACAAATGTGTCAGCGGTATAGTGTATCTCCTGCTCACAACCATTCAAGAACCCTGTATTGCTGGGGTGTATATAATCACATATTTCGTCTTTAAACTAATTATCCAATTGCAGTAGTTTTTATGACCCCGTCCACAAATCTAATTTTATATTGAGTACCACATGCTGCTGGGTAGCACTTTTATACCTTGTCTGACAAGAGGCAGAATTCATACACTCCCCCTCATCCAAAATAAAGGGAAGTGCTAACTATACATAATAACACATTCTGTCAAGGGGAAGATTGCTGATAAATAGTCTACGGTGATACCCATTTTTTTACTTTTAGGGAGATCTTCCATTCTTTTTGTGAATTGGGGCCTGCACAAGAAGCTCAATACACCGATAAGAATAAAGGGCTTTAATATCTAGAATTTTTTTTTTTTTTAACAAAAGTAGAGACCATGTCAATTTAACTATGAAAGTGTGTTTTTTATTTTTTTATTTTTTTTTATTTTGCTGGGTAACAGGGAGAGATTATAGGAAAAAAATTGTCCTGCAGAATAAGGGAATTTATAAACTAACCAGACAGTTCTTTACTTCCATACGTGGCTGCCTAGACATTTATACTGCGACACCCTCAGATTATAGGTTTCTCTTGTGAAATTTTTTTTTTTTTTTAAACTAGTGAATGGTTTTGATCACATTAACCTGCTGCACTGTAACATTCACTGTTTTAAAATCCAATCAAAATGATCCACCCTAATTTCTGTCAAACCGTGTGAAGATCATAACCACATTAACCTCTGACTGGCATTGCATAGTTTGTAACTCTGTAGATACTACTGCCTTGTGTTTTGCTGCATGCATTAGTGGGATCACGCCCAGGGCTTGGTGTACACTTGGATGTCTACAAGATAAAGTGACAGAAGATCACGTTTTTCACCTCGCACAGACGTGCACGTCCAAGAAATATTCCTCGCCATCGGGCATGCGTAACTGCTAAAAATGGGGAACAAGAAATCTACAACAGCTTGCTGTGTACCAATGGTGTGTGAATCCTTCTTTTAATTGCTTCACTGATGGATTAAGGTTTACATAATGGGACAGTAATGCCTAAATATAAGTCCACTAATCGCCAAATTATTATAAAGAATTGAAATCCAAAGAGCAAATTGTAGGGTAAAATAGCAAAGATGTTACCATAGCGCATTTTGCGATACTGTTTTTAGCCTATACTTTGCTATTCCAACTTCATTCGGGTATAACTTTGTATTTGGTCATTATGCCTGTATATATTGTAGCACACAGATCATCCAGGCACGCCTTCCAGTCCAGGATTTAGGGATAACCCAGTTGTGGGGTTTTTTTTTTTTTCTTTGTGGGGGTGGGGAGGGGAAAGCATCTTAGACACCACTGGGTAACCCCTAAATCCTGGACTGGTAGGTGTGCCTTGAGTACTGGTTTGGAAACCACTGACATAAAGTCTCTCAATCTGTTCTCTTAGCATCCTGTTAAACAATTTCTCTATAAATGAATATATTCTGGCATTACTGACTGTCCTGTGCCTAGCACAGATCCCTGCAAGCCCCATGTAAACCCTGTTTGAATGCTTCTTCCTTATGGGTTTATTTTTTTTTTAATAAAAAAAGCTTGTCACTGCATGATCACTTTGAGGCATTGTAAGAATACTGGGGGAGACTTGATCCCGATTAGAAACGCTTGCTATTCTGATGCAAGGTGCAGAATATCTCCACATTTAGTCCTCTGCACCCATATAGCACCTTTCTTGCTCTGTGCTTTTTAGCATTTTTTTAAAAAAGAGACTTAAAAAATGTGTTGCTAAAACAAATCACTACAAATTTGTGTGTGGGGAGGAGTGATTCATTAAAGTATCTGTTTTGGCAACATGCGGGTACAGGAGGATGTAAGTATTGTGCGAAGCTACCAGAAGTGTTTTGGGTTTTTTTTAAACAGATTACTTGACAATAGAGATGTCAAGCTATAAAAAGGAACACTTCATCTTTAAATGATTTCCAGTGTCCCTAATGTATGAGGTTCTCACTTGGGTCTCTGCATGATAATGGTGGGGCTGTCATGTGATCTGTGCTATTTCAAACCATGTTCTCCTTTGCTATATGTAAACTTGTTTTCTTTCCATGATTTGTGACACAGGACAAAGTCACTCCCAACTAGAGGAGGGATGAGGGTCCATAATGCATTGCTTTGTCATGTTAAACCAATTCTAGACTACTCTGTTCGGTTTCGGCCTCACATGATGGTGAGGTCACTGATCTGTGTGCAGTGATATTTTTTAAGTCTGAAGTTGAAGACTATATCTGTAGCAAGGGATCAGAATTCCCTCCAAGGCCAATATGACTTTGGGGTTGACAGAAGAACATGTGACTGGCAATGTTCCCCATGTCTGCTAACTTCTCAGGTTGTCCATTGTGGTCTCCTTGTGAGGAGTTGCCACCAGCTGCAAAAAGCTGAGCTTGTGGTGTGTATAATCTCTTGGTAAAGGAGGGTTACATGCATCCATAAAGTCCAGCCTTCCTCACATTTGATTTTTGCTGTTGATCCAAAAGAAGGCAAAAAAAGTCTGAGGCACTTCCAACTTTGCAACAAACTAGGAAAAAGTCCTTCTTGACCCCAAAATGGCAGTCAGATTTATCCTTGGATCAAGCAGTTATTACCCTACATAATCTGTCTGCAGTTGGCATGTTCACATTGCACAGTCCTCCCATTTGGAAGAGGATGTACCTCAGTTGCCAAGTCTCTCAGCTGAGAGATTGAATCGCTCAATACAGAAAATTTCTTATATCATGTTACAGTGATGGACCTAATGTCCTTTTGTTGGAATCCTCAGATCTTTATGTATTGTGCCGGGAGCAGATGCCCAGGTAGATGCTCTGGTTTGGCTGCAATGCTACTTAAGTCTTTTATTTTTTTTTATTTTTTTTTTTACACAAAGTTTGTCGTAGTTGGAATGCACTTTATATATTTCATTAAATACTAGTGCAAAGCAGAAAAAAACTCCTATAGGGGTGAAAATATTGCTAGTCCTGTTTTGTAATAAAAAAAACTTATCCTACTTTCCTCGTACCAGTCATTTGAATTCTGGTGGAGTTACTAGCCAAACAAAGTAACTTCCTCCAGAAAACTGACTTGAGTAGTCCTTTTCTTTCACTAGAGAATTAATCCTGTTCATGTAACCTTTTATTTTGTGTTTTTTCATAATTCAAGTGGCTGTCTTAATGGTTAAAATAAATCCAGAATTTGTAGAATGTTGCATATAACCAGAACTGTGTAAGATGAGCCTTAAGCATTAAAGCAGGCTTCTCCAAACTCAAGCCCTCCAGATGTTGCTGAACTAAATCCCATGATTCTCAGCCCATCTATTTCATTTCATAGAATCATGGGAGTTGTAGCTCAACATCTGGAGGGCTGGGGAAGCCTGCTTTAAAGTGTCGTGTTTTTGTACTTTTTTTTTTTCTACTTAAAATAAATTTAAAAAAAATTGTTTAACATGATCTGTTCTCCAGATACAATGTGGTTTTGCTATTTTTGAACCTCTCAATGCATTGGGGCTAGTGACTCTTTGCTGTTAATGGTTACTATTCTGGTCAGATGTGACATCCTCTCGCACTTTCTCTAGTTAAAGGAGAGGTCCTCTTTAAAACCTAGTACTACAGGGAAAAGCCATATAGTGACAGATCCATGGTCTAAAAATAAACTAACCAGTAGGTCCTGTATGACGGTGTCTTTATTGATTCAGACAACTTCTGCTGCTCCAGAATTCAGGTTTAAAAAAAAAAAAAAAAAACTTCTTTAAAAAGTGTTTTACAGCTTAGTCTGTTTCATGGGGTGCATGTCTCTGCTTGAATTCCTTTGGACGTTCTTGGCAGTGAATGGACCTAAGATTGGGATGTGCAGTGTTGTGTAAAAAAAAAAAAACCAAAACACCCGACAGCAGCACCTTCAAAGGGTTCACCTTGTCCATATTGCACATGTGGAGTGTGCGGGGGGAAAAAAAAACTTAAGGGCTACTCCAACCAAAAACTGTGCTGGCCTTTATTTAAAGGAAACTCTATTTAAAAGAACAAAAACTACCACAACAAGACTGTCTTGGCAAAGGTTTAAATAATATCAGGAAGTATTCATTTACTGAGGGGTAGTGGATACATGGAATAGCCTTCCAGCTGAAGTGGTAGAGGTTAACACAGTGAAGGAGTTTAAGCATGCGTGGGATAGGCATAAGGGTATCCTAACTATAAGATAAGACTAGGGACTAATGAAAGTATTTAGAAAATTGGGCAGACTAGATGGGCCGAATGGTTCTTATCTGCCGTCACTTTCTATGGTCTGCCCCATCCAAAGTAAAATACAATAAAACTAAAACTTGCTTATATTCCAGCGCAAAGGAAACGTTCTCCATGCACCTGTTCCTTCTTCTCTCCTTGAGGCTGAGGCAAGGAATGTGGTTGGATGCCACCATTGGACGCTTATCACCAGCATGTGATGGCAGATGAACAATTTACACAGCATTCACATTGGTCACCTGGAACGCTTTGTCCCGGGGAAGGATTATGATACACTAGTAATGCCGCCAGAGGTGGGGTTACAGTTCTGGCCGCAGAGGGGTTAAACTCTTTGCAGAGTTTCATGGTGACGCTGCCCATACAACCAGTGAAGTGGTCATGGTGCTTGGCAGAACACTTTAATTCTGCAAAGCTTTTAGTACTTTCCCCAGTGTAAGGGGGGGTTCTCACAGCACTTAGTAAATCTATGCTGCTACAGTTCACTTCAGACTTTCTTTTCCAAGCATTTGGGACCCAAAACTGATATTGCTGTGGGGGAACCTTACACACTGCAGGTTATTGGATAGACTTAAAAGGGGATGTTTTTTTGACTTGTTGGCAGCGTGCAAAGTATTTTGATATGTGGCATATGGTTACTATAAATTGAGGCTGAGCCTGAAAACATTTGTGGTTTTGTTAGCAAGCTATGCTGGGGAAAGTGAGTCATCGCTGGAACAAATATGGCTTTTCTTATTTTACACTTCTATATCCTTTTTTCCTTCTGTCAATTTGTTAGACTTGGAGATGCTAAAACCAGACCTTTTTCCATTTACTGTTTTACCAATATCACGTTGAAAGTGTGTATGGAACTTTATTATTTTTGGGGGGTGGGAGGGAGTGTTCTGGACCCCATAACCACATGTCCTACAGGAGAATCTGGCTTGCTCCACAGTTTACCTCTACCATGCAGAATTGCATTCACTGGCAGGGGGTGTCAGATGAACACTCTCAGCCAATGAGCTCAGTGCTGTCACTCTCAATGTCACTGAATAATGCAGATCTATGGGCTCATGCATTTAAATAAAAATAGAAATGCATTCCACTTTAAGAAATGAGCAAGGACTATGGACAAGCAGTGATGTTTTTGCCTGTTCTTGGTGTTCTCTTCTATTTCACACTTGTGCCAGCATTGCGGCGGTTAGCAATGCCATTGACCACTGCTGACGGACATCCCGGTTTTTGATCCCCCTGTGAGGCATGGGTAGTAAGTCTGGAACAGGGTTATTCAGTAAACAGAGCACTGTCTGCAATTCGCCAGGGAGCTGCAGGTGTAAGACCCAATAGCTGAGCTGGAGATATAACTGACTTGGATAATATTTAATGGCGAATTTCCAGAGCGCAGTTAATGGATATGATATAAAAAAAAATCTTTTGGGTAGTGTTGAATATAAATAGCAGAATTTAGGCCAAAGTAGTTTGAAAAATTCTCAATCAGCTCTAGTGCCTTAGCCTGAAACTTGTCATTTAGATGTAATTCCTCTAGAACAAGGTGTAACATTTGCATCTTTACAGCAAGGAAATAAAACTCCAAAGGTGTTTATTCACTAAACTGCTTTTTGCCAATTTCTATTTAAAGAACCCTTAAGGCACCATAATACATCTTGTGCTTATAGTGCCAAGGCACCTTCCCAAAACTCTGTCAAACAATGTTGCAAATTCTCTGAAGTTACATGGGATCCAGCGTTACAGAGTTTGGCTTACTGGATTTTTATTTTAGTTGTGGCTTTTTTAGTTTTATTTATTTATTTTTTATACGGTTTTACTTTATATTTACTTGGCTTAGGCGATAATGTGTGCTAAAGGTGGCTTCTCCGTCTTACACTGCTTGTCATGTTTAGGTCAATAGGTGTGTTTATTAATATGGATTTTAGCACACCTATTTATTCTAGATGCATCACTAATGTTACTGTGGGGGAAAAGATACTTTATTAACCCTTTCTTTGACAATCCATTTTAATTGTTTGCAAAACATGGTGGTATGGAGTATCATTGTCCAGCTGTTCAATGACTCACTGTATTTGGAAGAGCATGCACATTATAATTCCCTAGACTGCCATTGGTTGTAAAAGGCGATGCATTGCTGCTCTGCGGGATATTTACACTTTTTTTTTTTTAACCTTCTAATTACCCAAACCATGTAGAAATTCTATAATTGATATGTTGCACGACAAGCCATAATTGACATGAAAACAGGATTGTGGAGTTAATTGATATAATTACAAGTGTTGTTCTTGTAGCGATCTGTATTTGTATTCACCCCCACGCCAATTTTTTTTTTTTTTTGTAATCGGCTTGCTGTTTATTGAAAGTCCCTGTGATCAACACCAGGCATACTCCATGATGTGCAGATCTTCAGAACCTGTCCTCAGGTTAGCCACAGGAATACAGTGAGTTAATCTTTGATCTTCCACTTGTGACAAAATCCAAATGATGTAACTATCTATAATTTTCACTCCTGTATAAAAATCAGGGTTACACTTTATACCTGGAAAGGCCCAGCAAGCACTACGTTAATGTGAGGATTCAAAGTAAATGGTTGTATGAAGACTCTACGCACGTCCCTTTTCCCTGCTTCCACCATAGGGATGGACATGTCCTCTCATGGTTGGGGGTTGGTCAACAATGCAAACACCTCACGAACAGTTACTCCTTTAAAATTCCATTCTGACTGTGGGCTGACAGATATTTCTAGAACACGCATAGGCAACCTTCGGCACTAAAGATGTTTTGAATTACACCTCCCATGATGCTTTGACAGAATTTTGGGTGTAAGAGCATTATGGGGATGTAGTCCACAACATCTGGAGTGCCAAAGGTTACCCATCCCTGTTCTAGAATATTGGTGAGTTATAGTTAGATACTCCAACCACCATAACCACTTCTGCTATTAGAAGTGGTCATGGTGGTAGGAGTCTGTATGTGCAGTATTTCTGTATAAAACACTGCAAGTACAGAGAAATCTGCACTTTTCTGCCATGGGCTAGTTACACCTGTGGTAAGAATGACTTGAACCCCAGTTCCATGCTGCCTATTGTCACGTATCTGCAAAAATTGTCATCAGTTTGCTGGTAACTGGCTCGATGCATTGCAGCCTTGGTCTAACACTACCTCCCCGCCTCACTGGAATTTACTTTTATTTTCTTTAATTTGCAGGATTATAAGGGGGTACCTAGTGAATAATGTCCAGTAGGGCAGTGTAAAATTATAATAATGGTTAGAGTAACCCTTTTAAGATGGCTCTTGCAAGTTTTTTTTTTTTTTTTTTTTTTATCCCCACTTGTAGCGCTGTACATGAGACAAATGTTAGAGGGACTCCATTTATATTGGCAGAAGTCAAACTGTAAATATTGAGCAATGGGTACATGTTGACTCTGTGCTAGATATTGATTTATTGCTTTCCTTGGTACAAGTCACAGCAGTTCCTTGGCGAGGGAGGGAATCTCTGACCCCCTGGGATCACTATGTGTAACCATTTAAGTGGGCGCCCTTAACTCCCAACTTGTCAGAACTTCTGAAAACTTTTAATGAGACATTAATTTCCCCCCCCCTCCCCCCCCCCTGTTACATAGTTACCTAGTTAAATAGCTGAAAGAGACTTGCATCCATAAAGTTCAGCCTTCCTCACATTTGTTTTTGCTGTTGATCCAAAAGAAGGCAAAAAAAAAAATCCAGTCTGAAGCACTTCCAATTTTGCAACAAACTAGGAAAAAAATTCCTCCTTGACTCCAGAATGGCAGTCAGATTTATCCTTGGATCAAGCAGTTATTACCCTACATTGAAAGATTATATCCTTGAATATTCTGTTTTTGCAAGTATGCATCTAGTAGCTGTTTGAACATCTGTATCGACTCTGATAAAACCACTTCTTCAGGCAGAGAATTCCACATCCTGATTGTTCTTACAGTTAAAAACTTTCCTTTGCCTTAGACGAAATCTATTTCGTTTTTTCTTTTTTCTTCCAGTCTAAACGCATGTTTGTCTTACACAACATAGTCTGTCCTCAGGCTAACTCAGATTTCTATTAATGGGGATTTTGTTGGAGTAATTCCTGTTGCAGGAATGTCTGGTTTGTGTTTTTTATTTTGTTTTCTGCAGCTGAAGGGGCTTTAGTCATGATGGGACAGCTGTTTTCTTTCAGTTTAACTTTATTTTCCATTGATCTATTTCTGAACAGCCTCTTCTATGGCAACATATCTTTCTATAACAATTGGAGATTGCCTGAGGCTTCATCTAGGGAGTTGACACTGCAATGGTTCCATTATGTAATTATATGGGAGTGCCACTTACGATAGCTTCCACTTGGCATATTGTGATGTTAAATGTCATCAAAGGGAAACTCCAAGCACTATAACCACCACAGCTTACTGTTATGGCTCAGTCTCTATGGGTGCTGTACTTCGGGCTTGATAAAAGGAGCCTTATCAGTACCCAAAACCTACCCAGTTCACTCTAGACACAGTATGAGAACGTTGCACTGCTTTTTGGGTTTGTACCTCTGTCAAAGGGGCTCCTGAGGTGTTCAGTGGAACACTTTATTAGGGAGGACAGCTGTCCTCCGTAAGTCAGGTCTCAGACTACTGGCACCAGAAACGCTACCTCTTAATGTAGTGGCTGTGTCCTAGGAAAGGCAGCTCTTGCACTTAGGCTGCAGGGACAGTATCTGAGAAAAAGCAGTGTCAAACTGCCACCTAATGCTGTAGTTGAAAGCCATTAGAGGGGCTTTCTAATATCTCTTGCAGATTGCACAACTGATGCTCAGTGTTTCCACTCCCTGCATGAAGACTCTGAATGCTCACCATAGATACACTAGCCTCCAATCCAGATTGATATCCACCTGTGAGGCTAGTGGCTGTGGCAAGACCAGCCCGCCAGGGGAGTAAAGGTGAGCAACACTAAAAGTATCCCTGTGTAAAGGGTCAAGAACCCAAACTCCTCACTTTTCTGTATGGGGTGTAGGTAAAACCAAACGCCCAAAGTCGTGTACATTTACCAAACCCAGAAACTTCGTTACGAAGGCCATCAGTGCATTATTCAAAGTGCAGTCAGGAAGTCTAAATATAACTACATGTTTATAGCTCTGTGTACAAATCCAAAAAAAGTCAAAGTTTGAGTGATGCCCTCTACTGGCAATGGTGAACATAGCAGCAGCATGTTGCAATGTGGCAATCCGTGTGATTGAATACTATGGCATGTATCAAATATAGCCTATAAGTGAGACCTTGTATATTACAGCATCATTTTACAAATGCAGATGTCGCTTCTGGTTTTTTTTTTGTTTTTTTTTAACCGTATCTTATTTTTCTTTACATTTTAATGAGTGGGTAGGTAGCTAGTTTGTCTGTTTCCTAGGGTTATTAAATCACAGCTTTCTATTATATGTACACCCTCCCAGGATTTCCATGTTGCTTATGTCAATGTCTTTAATTTAGTTTTCCTGTCTTCCTGAAGGTGGTTATTATGGCTTTTTGAATGATTCATTCTCTAGCAATGGTTGATCTCCAGTCTCACAAGACAGGAACATTCTGTGACTGGTGCATATACTCTAATATTATTCTGAAGCAGGGAGACTCTTTAAATATTAAACTCTGCTATGTTGAATCCTTTCCAACAAGCTGTATAGCTGCATCAAAGACTATGGCAAATTCAGCAACAGGAAACGTCTGCCAAAGCAGATACCGTGGCTTTCTTTTTATATAGAAAAGCAATGTCTAAATACAGAAAGGGTGGCTGCTTGTATTGCTGACTCCATAATTCTCCCCATCCCTAGCAACAAACTGTAATGTTAAGAGAAATGAGTGTCTTATCTAATCAGCTAGTTCTGTTTCAGAGAGAAGTGTGGGTGATGCTGGTTAATCACATGTCATCTTAGAATGGTGGTCCTCAAACCCTGTACTTGCAGCACAAAAAGCTGCTCTGGTTTTGTCTGTAGTTTAATAGGATGAGACCTGGGAGAAGACTGAATCGTGGGGGTTTTCTAAATAAAAATAAACGTATGACATCCTATTTTTTTTTTTTTTTTTTTTTCAGAAGTTTAAGAAACTAAGCGGTAGAACTGATTTTTATTACATGTTGTTGTACAGCTTTGTGTCCAGTTAAATGTAGCAAATCCTGGATTTTCCTTTACAAACAAATATTGGTCTCATTTTCTGGTGTTTGGGGCCTACCCCATGTCATGGTAGATGTGAGATTATCTGCGCTTTTGTTGGGAGTACAATGGTTTCAGCTGTGTAAGCAGCACGCTGCGGCTAACAAATGTCTGGGGATTTTTGTTACTGCAGCTGCTCACTGGCTGTAACTAGACTGAACATCACACGGATCTTAAAATATCTACCTTCTATAGACCCAAACCATGCACCCAGTAATGCATTGCTATGGGAGATGCCACACGTTTAACACCTACAGAGCCAAGTCAACATTTTATAGATATCCTGCATTGTGCACCATGGTGGGATTAAATATAAATGCACTCAAGGTTATTAAAGCGTTCAGGGAATTCAGTTTCTTTCAAATTTAAGGCCAAAAGGCAATTTGGATGCATAGCTGACTTAAAGAATCTTTACAGTTCGGCTACTTTAGAATTGAAATTCCCTTTGAATTCACAATAGCCCTTCGTGTTTTTAGAAAAAAAGCAAGGGGTTAGATTAACAGTTTTGTGGAATTGGGGGCGGGTGAGACATGCTGTATTTGTGTGGGTTTTTTTTTTTTTCTCACATACATTTTATCTCCCATCCAGCCTTCCGAAATGGTGGTTGATCACCCAGAGTTTGAGAAGGCCGGAAAGGCTCCAGGGCTCCAGATCTGGAGGGTGGAGAAATTTGATCTAGTGGCTGTTCCACAGAATCAGTATGGATCTTTCTTCACTGGTGACTCCTATCTGGTCCTAAATACCGTGAAAACCAAATCTGGCAACCTTCAGTACGACCTCCATTTCTGGCTGGGTAAGTGCTTCCATCCCTGTCCTGTGCCCAGTCTTCCTAAATCTCTAGAGTGTAATAATGGCATTAAATGTGCCTGCCCTTAATATCTTGCCACGATCCAGTGTGATCATTTTAAATTAGGAAAACACACATTGGGAGAATAATCCTTTTGAAACACACCATATGGGAAGCACAAAGTGACGGGACAAACGGAAGTTTGTGTACCTTTACCTGCGCCTCTGGTATGGTGGTTTGGTGTTTGTGGACAAAGAACTCCACCGAAACCTGCTGTTCTATAGAATGTTAATGTATAAGTGCCTCAAGTGGCTGTTCTCCCTGTAGACCATAAGGCTGGAAGGAGAACTTGGCATCGATGCTGGAATGGAATAAGGGCATTTGCATCTCCGCTAGTCCCCAATTCTCTTCTGAGAACCATCCTGTCTCCTAGACACTGCAGGAGGAATGGATGGAGCTCTGAGTGAGTCTGCCCTGCATCTATCTAGTGAGAACACTAGAATGGTAGGAATTCATGTTTAAAGCTGACACCAGCCTCATGCATTATCTTAATGGCTTCAAATATGCTAAGCTTTGGGTGCCAGAACGGTTTGTGGTAGGTGTATGGGTTTTATTTGTTTATATAAATTTACATGGAAACTTGATTGCTTTCTCAAGGTAATGAGACAACCCAAGATGAAAGTGGTGCGGCAGCCATCTTCACCGTCCAGATGGACGATCACCTCGGAGGACAGCCAATCCAGAATCGGGAAGTTCAGGGGTTTGAATCCAATACTTTCCTGGGATACTTCAAATCTGGAATCAAATACAAGGTATCAGGCATTGTCTTAAAGGAAAATGTTTGGCCCCACAAACATGATCAGAAGACCAGGAGTCTGCCCCATGAGACCATTCCGAGTATGTTGTAGTAATGCCTCTTTAATGCTGTTTCTGTTTTTCTGTTTTTTATAGGCTGGTGGTGTGGCTTCAGGCTTTACACATGTAGTTCCTAATAACGTGGACATCAAGCGCCTCCTACAGGTCAAAGGTCGACGTCTGGCCCGAGCCACTGAGGTTCCTGTTGGCTGGGAGAGCTTTAACAAAGGAGATTGCTTCATTCTTGATCTCGGTGATGTAAGTTTTTTTTTTTTTCCTGTAGGTGGTGGAAGGCTTGAACTGTCAAATGTAATAAAAAAAATACACTTTAAAAAAAAAAAAAAAATTTTTTTTATCCTTCTGTCAGTAAAGCATGGTTAAAATCAATCTTTACGCTCTAAAATTTTTAATTAAGTTTCTAACTGGCCACATCCGCTGTCTACAGTATTAAGGCATGGTTAATCTGCAGAACCAGGAGTTGTTGAGAATGGTAAATGATTATTTTTTTTTTTTACCAAAAATAACCAGACTTCAGAAATCCAAATCCTGTAGTCCAGGCAAGAGATAGATATATATATTAAATGGCAACTGGTTACTAGAATATGTGGATGAATGAAAACTGCATTCTGTATAAAATTATCTAAACCTAGAACTGTCCTTCATTACAGGATATCTTCCAATGGTGCGGGTCAAATGCAAACCGCTTTGAGAAGCTGAAAGCAACAAGTATTGCCAAAGATATTCGTGACAATGAGAGACATGGGCGCGCCAAGGTGTATGTCATGGATGAAGGCATGGAACGTGAGAAAATGATTGAGGTGACTTTTTTTCAATAAGTGTTAATATTTGCTGTGGTCACAAATGTATTAATCCTTGTTTGGCTCAGTTTTTAGTTCACTAAAATTCTGTCAAACTGGAGACTTGAGCAAACTGGCTTCTCTGGCTCCATTTTTGTCATCATGTCATTTGATCACTAAATGTCACCATACAGTGTTCAGTTACCTGCAGTGTATTTAGAGTATAAACCTTACTTTTTTTTTTGTGTTTTGCAATGGAGAAATAGACTGCAGAGCCACAGAACCTCTCTAACTGCATCTTAGACGCACAGCAATTTAGGTTAAGGTGTCTGTAAGAAACCCAAAATGGAAGATGCTCACATGTTCCTCACTGTACACCTGTTCTTCCAAATTTCTACAATCTGTACTCTTACTGATGCATTATCTGCCATTTATTTTGGTTTATGCAGCCCTAGCCACACCCCCATGGCTGTGACTTGCACAGCCTGCATGAAAGAAGGGTTTCCTTTTCAATCAGATCTAACAGTACACTGTGTTTACTTTAGAAGTACAGGCTGTTTTTAACATATTCCTAAATTATTGTGTTGTCTGTCATGTGACCATAGCTCTTTAAATGGTCAGTGATCATGTAGCTACGTAAGATAACTGTACAATAAACTCTGTAATCTAGAATACACCAACCTCTAAGGTTTCTTTCCTTCTAGGTTCTAGGGCCAAAGCCAGACTTACCAGACGGGACAGCTGATGACGTCAAAGCTGATTCCTCAAACCGGAAACTTGCAAAGCTTTACAGGGTAATGAATTTACAAATCTTAAATCGCTGTTGATGTATGCTTGCCTCCTAACCCTTCAAATAGACCAAGGACACCGTCATTCAGGCGTGAGTGGTGGTGTGGCCACTTCTATTATCTTTTTGGGTGACTTACTCCTTTCTGAAACTAAAATGTAACCAGAACAATGTATCTTATTTACAGACTGACTTCTAAACAGTTATTGTAGCTTAAAGACACATTACTGAAATACACTCCTCTAGGATTCAAAAAAATCCAAAACCCATCTTATAATATTCTGCCTTGGTCAGAAAGTCAGTTACATGTTTTACCATATTCTGTTGAATTAATATTCAAATGATCACCAATGAAATCTTTAACTAAATTCGTAGTGAATGAAGAATAATCCTAATGTTTATAATCAATGTGATCTCCTCTGGTGCGGAGTAAGTCTTAAAAGTGGGGTTGGTTTTTTTTTGTGTTTTTTTTTTTTTGTCTGCAGTCCTTGCTTTAGAGTTGGGAATGATATATTTCTTTGAAATCTAAATGTTCTCTAGCAATGTCACCGTAAGATGGTTTTTTGAATATTGAGTGCAACTAACTCTTCCCTTCATGAAGGTTTCAAATGGATCTGGTCCCATGGCTGTCTCTCTGGTGGCTGACGAAAATCCATTCACCCAGTCCGCCCTGAACTCTGATGACTGTTTTGTATTGGATCATGGCTCAGATGGAAAGATATTTGTATGGAAAGGTTAGTACCAAATAACGTGAATTCTGTGGTCCGTGCCTATCCCTTGTTTAATTTGGCGTTTAAAGTGATCACTAACGTAACACTCACTCTAGATCATTGCGGGATGGTTTCTAACTATGCACTTATTTATAATCTCTAATTATTGCCAAACCATGGACTGGCCATAACACTTGAGAAATTACAAACTCCACTGACTAGTGCGGGTAAGGTAGGGGTTTTGTGTGTGTGGATTTTTTTTTTTCTACTCTCTTCTCCCTACCTCTTATTTAAAGAGGGGTCTATAAACGGCTAACTAAATTGAACTTCTAATGGGTAAAGATAAGCTATGTAATCGGTGTGGCTTAAAAAAAAAAATCTGCCAAAGTTAAAACTTTTTTTTTTTTTTTTTTTTTTAAATTTGTTTACAATATTTGGTTGCTCTGGACAGAATTTATGCGTCAAAATGACACTCTGGTGGTTATACAAGTTTTCATTTTGAACGCTTGGTGTCACTAATTGGATGCAGGACACTTGGCTCTACTCATGTGTCTGCCTTGTGCAATGCATTGTGGAGGAGTCTTAATTTGCTGATGACATTCCAATGCTTATACAGGAGCACTGTGCACATAATGCGCATGTACATTGCGTGCCCTGCTCACACCAATAGTTCTCAAACCCTTTATTCAGCATTTTCCTGTGAGTTGCAACATCACGTGACGTCTTATTTGGTCAATGCAGCAGAAGCTCTTCTAATTTTTTGGGGAAGATAACCATTAAAAGTGTCTAACCCTGCAATGGGGGAAAAAAATACTTAATTGAGATGTGGTCTAGATGACTCTAGTAATCCTTAATCTAATCAGAAGTAAAATATAATCTTTAAAATGATGGCTAAATCACTAGATTCCATTAACTTGTCTATATTTCTGTTACTGAGATTGCCAGGTCAGTGCGCTAGCACAGCTTTCATAAAACTCTATAATCTGGTTTAGTGTACTTGGTATCATCATGGGATTATGTTGGATAATGGACTGTCTCAGCCGGTTCTAGGTAGCTGGGACATGGGTCAGATACGTAACAAGACTAATAGAAATTCACTTTTCTCTTGACAATTTAAGCTCCTCCCTCACCCTTGTTGACCTAAATATAAACTAATCTGGCTGGTGACTTTGCTAAACTACTGTTTTCCTCCAGGAAAGAATGCCAACTTGGAGGAACGAAAGGCTGCTTTGAAAACTGCCACAGAATTCATCTCCAAAATGGGCTACCCAAAACAAACACAGGTATGAGCAAAAGCAATGTTCTGAAACCTTGCCAACCACAGTCTCTTCGTGACTAAACGGTGTTAATGCTTTTAATATAGATTGTAGTAAAATAGTCTGGGCGAAGGGTCTTGGTTTAACAGTTTAGCCACTGGTTCACTAAACCCTAGATTGCTTATCTTTTCTGCCTCTTCCAGGTCCAAATTCTGCCCGATGGTGGTGAGACCCCACTGTTCAAACAGTTCTTCAAGAACTGGCGCGATAAGGACCAAACCGGAGGGATGGGTATTGCCTATGTTCCCAACCACATCGCCAAAATTGATGATGTGCCGTTTGATGTCAGCACTCTCCACGACTCCCCAGCCATGGCAGCTCAACACGGCATGGTGGATAATGGCACAGGCAAGAAAGAGGTAAGTTGTGCTCAAACCAGCTCTTCCTTTCTGTGGAGGGTTGACTGAAGGGTCCCTTGCGTTGACTCTTGTGTCTCCTGTTGGGGTGACTTTTGTCTTGAATTTGAAGTTATTTTTACAAAGCATGTAGAATGAAGCCAATGTTACAAAATAGTCCCTTCATTTGTATTGTGATACAATCATTCTGGGAACTACTTGCCGAGCAAAGTTCTGTGTATTACTATTTTGGGCTACAAGGGACCACTCGTGGCATCTGTTGGAATGCTTGTCAAATCGTGAGTCACATTGGTGAATAACAGATTTGAGGTCAGCATAGCTAAACTGAAAGCACAGTGAACTTGGAAAATATCTCATGTTTGGCCAAGTTTACCTTAAATTCTTAAAGGAACACTATAGTCACTTAAACAAATTTAGCTAAATGAAGCAGTTCTGGTGTCTAGATCTTGATTCTCCGGTTTCACTGCTCAATTCTCTGCCATTTAGGAGTTAAATCACTTTGTTTCTGTTTACGCAGCCCTTTCCACACCTCCCATGACTCTGACACAGCCTGCATGAAAAAACTTGTTTCCCTTTAATGAGATGTAATTGACCTCAAACAATTGTATCTCTTGCTCTGTAAATTGATCTGTAATCACATACAGGAGGCTCTTGCAGGATCTAGCAAGCTAGTAACATAGAAGGGATAAGAAAATCTAAATTAAACAGAACTTGCAATAAAGGAAGGATAAACACTAATGACTCTTGACAGGAAGTGTTTAGGAAGGCTGTGCAAGTCACTTGCAGGGAGGTGTGACTAGGGTTCATAAAAGGATTTAAAATCCTAAGTGGCAGATTGAGCAATGAGGCTGCAGGGGCATGTTCTATACACCAAAACTGCTTCATTAAGCTAAAGTTGTTTTGATGACTATAGTGTCCCTTTAACTTGGTAACTGGTTCTGAGAAATCTCCATTGCGGTCACCATCTGCATTAGTGAGACTCCCTAAATGCAGCATTTTAATTTTCAATATTGATGTATGGCTTGTTCTGCTCTAGTAGTGTGTGTGTGTTTTTTTTTTTTTTCTTTATTTTAAGAAAAAAAAAGGAAAAAAAAAAAAGTTTCAGTTATAGAAACATAGAATGTGATGGCAGATAAGAACCATTTGGCCCATCTAGTCTGCCCAATTTTCTAAATACTTTCATTAGTCCCTAGCCTTATCTTATCGTTAGGATAGCCTTATGCCTATCCCACGTATGCTTAAACTCCTTTACTGTGTTAACCTCTACCACTTCAGCTGGAAGGCTATTTCATGCATCCACTACCCTCTCAGTAAAGTAATACTTCCTGATATTTTTAAACCTTTTGTCCTCTTGTTGTGGTAGTTTTTCTTCTTTTAAATATAAATTTGTATTTGTGTGTATCTTATGTATTCTTCCGGGGAACCTGTTCCTTTCTGATAACAATCATGGTCATTAACTAAACTGTTTTTCCAGTTTAATTTGCTAAAATCGTTGGAGTTTTTGCCTTTCTGAATCTAGTTAATTGTAGCTACCTAATGCCTTATTTGTACTTTTCTAGATTACTTTGGGGTGTCCTTGCACAAATCTTAATGTTGTGTAATGCGTTGGTTCTGTTTGTGGGATTTGTAAAAACTTTTTATTTAAATGTATTCTGATTTCCCTCGTTAGATCTGGCGCATAGAAGCATCTGAGAAAGTGCCGGTAAATGAATCCAATTACGGTCAATTCTACGGAGGAGACAGTTACATTATTCTATACCACTACAACTCCAGTGGGAGACAAGGACAAATTATTTACACCTGGTAAATAGATGCATTTTTATAAATTTTATTTCCCCTCTAATCTTGTTCCTCTTGAGAGGAAGTGATCTACCTTGACTTGCTGAGTATTAATTACGTGCATGAGCGATCTATCAGCGATCTTCTATTGTTGAACTGAGATCATGGAATTTTTATTTTTATTTATTGTGGAGATAGAATTGTGCTCTCATTATGTAGACCACAAACTCAAAGTTAAGGTGTCTGTCTAGATGCAGTAGTGTGTTTTGTAAGGGGGGTGGCATTTTGGTAAAAGGAGAATAAACCGCCAGATGTATTCTGGCGCATTAGTGTCTGTGGGGGAGTCGCTTATGTATGTTGGCTTAACTATCTTATCAGTCATAATATTGCACGTGGGCACAGCTGCTGTAGAACTTTAATTAAGTGTCTGCAGTTAAGGGGAGGGGGCTGCACACCCCTCCCAAATATGGGTGCTTTGTAGACCTCCTAACTGGAAAAGGTCTGACTAGCTGTGCAATAAAGCCTTTCACTGTGATATTGCCAATATTCATTAATGTCCACAGGGCCTGTATCTTTTTTTTTTTTTTTTTTTCTTCCAAAGAGATTTTAGTGGGTACTATGTTCTGACAAATGGTGCTAGGGCTCCCTCTAGTGGCAACGCTTATTGGATGTCTACATAGTAGCAGCATTTTTATTTATTTTTTTAATTTTTTTTTTAAAATCTCAATCTTTGACAATGATGATTTTAGAAACCATTACTGCATCATGCAGGTATAGGTGCAAGGCACACTTGGAGCAGTTTGAAACCATAAAATCTGTTAAACGCAGATCTATATAACTGGAGATCCAAGACTAATGGCAATTTACCACAGTTAGAACTCCCAACATGTACAAAGACCAGACTCCTTGTAAATATTTTCAACATACAAAAAGTAATGTGCCTAAATTAATTTTTATTTTGTTGGCGATCTAACACAAATGTCTGATATTGCAATCCAGCAGACTTGATCAATGTCCAAAACACCTCCCCAACTCAAATTTTTGTATTTGTCACTTGTGTACTGCAATAGGGGTGGGGGTGGTGATGGTAAAAAGGAATTGGGATGAATTCCTGCTCTATTGCCAGTAGATGGCGCTACTGTGGTACACAAAAAATTGCCAAAACCAGGTTTTGGTGTGTAGAGCCATGTCTATAACGCAAGCTGCAATAAATATATTTAAGGGTTGCCCCGCTACTGTAACTAAGAGGTGCAAGTGATTACTTTTAAATCTACTCGGGGATTGACTAGAAGCCTGACCTAATGGGAAACATAACCCACAACACCTGTTGCCCTAGGACGGCCATCATTCTCTAGAACAGGCAATCAATGGCTAATAGTACTGTTAAGATGGTGCTGTGCACACTGCTACATAATCTAAACAGGCAAGGTTCAATGAAAAAGGATCCCTGCAAAGAAAGACAAGGTTTGTAGTGGAAACTTTAGTGCGAAGAGCAGGCAGAAAGGTTTAGATTTAAAAAAATAAATAAATAAAAAAAATAAAGGCTGACACACCCTGCCTTGCGTACCAACTTGCAATCAATGTTCTGCGCATTTAGTAGGATTTAATAACCTGATTTTTATCTTCAGGCAAGGAGGTGAGTCCAGCGTGGACGAGATCACTGCTTCTGCGTTCCTGAGTGCCCAGCTGGATGCAGATCTTGGTGGTGGACCAGTACAGGTGATTTCAGTAATTTGTGGCTAAATAATTCAAATCTTTAGTGATTAGTGTTGTGTCTTTAAAGTGCCAGCATTGAGGGGAACCTACACGCCTGACAGTGTCGTGTGTGTTTTTTTTTTTCTCTCCTGTGTCTATATAGGTTCCCTTTTGTAAACTCTTCGCTGTTTAAAATAATTACTTAATCTGCAGCGCCTAGACTTATCTGGTGCAAGCTCTGCCTTCAGATGTCAGCGTAGCTATCCCAGCTCTGTGTCCCACTATGGAATGCAGGCAGTCCCCCAAAAATAATTGGGAGTAACGCTGTCGAATCTTGTGTGATTAAACTGCTTCTGTTTATTTTTTTGTTTTGTGTTTTTAAATTAAAACTTACTAGGCAATCACATTTAAAAAAATAAAGTAAAAACCCATATCTATCGGCTTTTAAACACATTATGGTCGCTTCACGCTCAGTCTTAGACGAGTAGGCTTTTTTTTTTTTTTTTTTTTAAGTTCCATGTAGTGGTCCAATCTGTGGTAGCTGCCAGTAAAAATATTGAATCCCTTGGTTTGAGTGACCCAGGTGACTGCTATTCAATTGGGAGACTACAAATTGTTTAGCCTTCAGCAGAGAGATTACATTGTAACCTCTTAAAGACTACTTTTAGCGTAGTAAAGGGTAGCTTGTGGAGGCCATTTTTAAGATTCTTCTTACAATGCCTTATTCTCCAAAACTGAAGAGAACATCCCTTCTTAGTAAGCCGAAGGGATAAATGAGTCTCTCTTTTATACAAAGGGCTTTTAACTCCTTTTCCTGGTTCTTTTAATTGTCCTTAACACAGGGACATTGTCAGGTTAAAGGACAACTCTCAAAACCTACTGGGCTATTTTTCCAGTTGGTTCATTACATGTCTTTATCCCATTTCTCCGTTCAATGTCCTTGGCAGATAGCTGTGACTATAGACCTTATTCTTCCTTTATACCTGGTCACCCAGAGGAGTTATTGTTAAAGGGACTTTATAGGCACTAAGACTACACTCTCACTGAAGTGGTCTGGGTGCTGTCCCTGTAGTTTAAACCCTTTAAACAATATTGCTTTTCTGCAGAATGAAATTTTAAACGCTTCTAAGGCTTAGAGTCCCTTTTGAATGGGACAGGGCTAGGTTGACCTGTAGGTGACTGATGGGAGTGAAGGAGAAACCAACCCATTCCGTTCTGACTATTGCATACACTGCATGGTTTGTTAGTTCTTGCACCGGAGGATGCTTTCTTTAACAGATGTGCATTGTACAGTCAACTAAAAGGCAATTTATATTTTTCAAACTCTTATATGAAATTCATAGTTTAACATCAGGGACCTTCTATCTGCACTTAACTACAACTTTATGGGTAACCTTTTAGCAAGCACAGTCTGGATTTTTCTTTTTTTTTTTTTTTTTTAAATCTAAACCTTTCTGCCTGCTCTTCGCACTAAAGTTTCCACTACAAACCTTGTCTGTCTTTGCAGGGATCCTGCACCCAGGTACATTTTTCATTAGACCTTGTCTGTTTAGATTACGTAGCAGTGTGCATAGCACTATCTTAACAGTACTGACACGTTTGCTGTGTGTTTGTGTTTTGTTTTTTGTTTGTGGTTTTTTTTCTGTTCCAAAATTTATTTGGTCACAATGTTGCTGTGAATGAATTCAGAGTTCATAGTTGCTCAGCTTTTTGCACATTATCTGACTACATCCTCACTGCTTGCGACTGCCTAGGATTTCTGTTAACTTGTTACGTGTTTAGAATGGTCCCGATCATCTGCAGAACTTGGATGGTTACCGCTAACTGGGGGTAGAGAAGCTAACCTTCATGAATTTTACTGAAAGTCTTTGGGTCCCCCATAAGTCAAGAATTGTCTAGATCAGTGACTCCAAGGCAATCAACGCTGGGCACCCCAACAGTCCAAGTATTCTCTGTATCCCCACTAAAATTGAATTGGTATTTATAGAGCTGAAAGGGTGTCATTCCAATATGTTTGTCATACAGGAACAGTATGTACAGAGCTCCCCAGGTGAGCTTGCAATACTCTGGACAGTTGTGCCTTGGAGAGCACTGATGTAGATGGCAACTGTCAAGAATACCAGAACACCCACTCTACACTGGCGTAGCTCATAAAAGGTGGAGGCTTTGCTGCATCACTCGCGGAGTGAACTTCGTGTCGGACTGATTTATTGAATGACATGACCTAAATTCTGTTCTAATGTAGGTCAGGGCCCACTACTCTGGAGAACAAGGATCTTGTCTGCTTGAGGTTTAGGTGTTAACAAATGTTTGACTGAAATCAAAGTGGTGGGACTGGAGGCTTATCATGGATTCACTTATGGATTAAGATGACAAATACAGGAAATAGTATTGCATGGGTTCCTTTTTTTATTTATTTATTTTTTTTGTGCCTAAACCACACAATAGAACCTTCAACAAAAAATGTTTCAAGAGATTTGTACTTTAGTTATAGCACCCTTCACATTTTATGACCTCTAGAAACTAAACTGTTTAAAATAAAAAAATTTGAGAGCCAGCCTTTTGATCTGTTCGTGCTATGACTTTCTCCCCCTTATTGACAAAATAGAGAAGTGAAACCATGCAGAGTCGAATGACCATGGCCCTAACACTTTCCAAGGCTATAACTTAACTTTTTGGTCAGCATTTCACTCTCTAATTATGCATTGTTAGTCTGTAAATGGGTTGTGGGTTGGATTTGTTGTGAAACTAAATATTGACTATAGCAACATCTGCACACTGTTTTGTGCCACAAAATACCAGTTTATATAAACTTACTGAATCAAAATGATGGTACAGCATGAACAAAATGCCTCTGAAGCATTGTTCCAATAGTCTTGGACCACTATTTTATTAGCCTGTGCTCAGTCCTGTATTTCTGGAGACTTCCAAGTGACCTCTTAATGAATGTATAAATCTGTATATTGTCTGAACTGCAGGTCCGTGTAGTGCAGGGCAAAGAGCCTGCTCATCTGCTGAGTCTGTTCGGTGGAAAACCACTCGTTGTCTACAAAGGAGGAACGTCCAGAGAAGGCGGTCAGACAGCAGAGGCAGACACTCGTCTCTTCCAAGTCCGTGCATCTTCATCTGGATTCAGTAGAGCATTTGAGGTATGCACTCATTTTTTTTTTAATAGGAATATTTAGGCAGGTTATGCAGACTGGCATACTTTATTTCAATTGGCTGTGCTCTTGTCAGTTAGTGCCGCTAATGGTTTATGTAGACTGCTTAAGACTAAAGCAAACTAGCATTAATTTAGTCTTCGAAGAATCCTGATTTAGGAACACAACTCAATTCCCTCTCCTTGAACCATCTTAGATTGATGCTGCAGCAAGTCATTTGAATTCCAACGACACGTTCGTTTTGAAGACTCCTTCTGCTACCTACCTGTGGATCGGCCAAGGCTCCAGTGAGGCAGAGAAACAAGGTGGCCAAGAACTGCTGAATATTCTAGGAGTGTCCGGCTCTCAGATTGCAGAAGGAAGGGAACCTGGTATGTACTACGCTATAAACTGTCTGCAGACGGCTTATTAACAGATGTGGTTTGAGTCACGCTACCCTAAATCACGCTAAGGGATACTGTGGGCTCTAACTGCTTAATCTCATTGATTACTGAATGGTAGAACTGTACCAGAGCATACAATTTTGAGGGCAAAGCGCATGCAGGCACTTCATGCAGCGTGCCGAGCAGACGGCAGAGTGTCTTCTGTATCCTTAGCTGGTTTGACAGGAAGTGCTCACCAGCTTCCTGTCAGACTGGGTCGAGTATACAGAAGATGCTTAACCACAGTACTAAATCTGTGCAATGCCCCTTAAATCTACAGTGATAATGATTAGTTTCTGAGAAACTGCAATAAGTACATCTGAGGGTTAACTCCACCTCTAGTGGCTGTCTACCTGATTATTGGAGGAAATGCACCATAACCACAACAGTTGGCATGAAAATCAAAGTACCAAAAACTTTTGTTCACTTTTATTTTTTTTTCTTCAGATGACTTCTGGGAACACCTGGGTGGTAAAGCTCCATACCGCACATCTCCACGTCTGAAGGACAAACTCAATGCTCACCCACCACGGCTGTTTGCTTGTTCCAATAAAACTGGACGCTTTATTGTACGTTGTCTGGGGGTGAATGATAAGCTTGGCAATGTCTAAGTTTATTTCAGCTACGCTAGTCTGAGTTAATCATTTTTGGTTTTAATACCCTGCCTTCTTTCATAGATTGAAGAAGTACCAGGAGAACTCACACAGGACGATCTAGCACCCGATGATGTGATGCTTCTGGATACCTGGGATCAGGTAACACAAACAATCTGAGCATATTTAGGTCCATGATTTTCTGCCTGTAAACAGGAATTTTCTCCCCAAGGTTAATTTTATGGACCTCTTCCTTATTGGTCCTGCTCACTGCAAGAACTTAGAGGGTTATTCACTAGAGTGAGAATTGAATGATTTTTTTTTTTTTTTTTTTTTTTACACATTTTAAGGCCAGAGTAGTTGAATGGAATGAATAGGCATCAAAAATTTGGCGTAATGATGCAGTCTTAGTGTGTAGTCCATGCTCCTGTAACCACAGCCAGGTCTGCCCATTCTAAATCTGCCCAGTGATTGCATCGATTTAAAAAAAAAAAAAAAAAATTATCCCTGCAGTCTCGCTGCTCATTTCTCTGCCATTCTAAAAGTTTGTTTATGCAGCCCTTGTCACACCTCACTACATGTGACTTGCTTTACAGGAAGTTTGTAGGAAGGCTGTTTAAATTAAACAGAACGTGCAACAAAGTGTAAAGTTAATCTCCTGCTGTTAATAGCCTGCTAAACCTTGCAGGAGCCTCCTGTGTGTAATTAAAGTTCAATATACAGAGATTTAAAAAGGTTAACTTTTTAAGTGTTTTTTTAATGAACATCTCTTGTTGCAGGTATTTGTCTGGATTGGTAACGAAGCCCAAGATGAAGAAAAGAAAGAGGCTTTGGCATCTGGTAAGGAGACTTTGCTAGTAATGTTGTATCCCAGAACCACTCTGCTCTCTCCTGATTGGTTTGCAATAAGCATAATGAGTGTTTGCCGAGGCAGTAGCCTTCTGTATTACACACCAATTGGGTAGGGTTTATTTTTATTTTTTCATTAGAAACCTCTTCCTGAATGGTCTCTTCCCATACCTCCACTAATATGGGACTGCACAAGGCAGTAAAAAAGTTAAGATCATGGTTGGCTATATAATGCAGACCATAAATCTCATTCTACTTGGGTCTTCCATCATCGGTTTTAAATCTGGATTGAGCAACACAAAGCATCTGTAAACTAACCAGTTAACATTTTCTCTCCCCAGCTTCCAAATATATTGAAAGCGATCCTGCCAACAGAGATAAGAGGACACCCATTGCAACTATCAAACAAGGGTTCGAGCCACCCACCTTCACTGGCTGGTTCCTTGGCTGGGATAATGACTTCTGGGCTGTTGATCCCCTGCAGAAGGCCTTGGCTGAGCTGGAAATGTGATCTCCAAGCAAGTTGTGTCCTGCAGTTCCCGTGCCTTCACTGCCTATGAGAGCCACTCTAACCTGCTAGAGACTTTTCATAGCCCCACTAGCTGTGCAATAACCAAAATGTTTGTTCCAGTTTATACTTTTTTTTTTTTTTTTTTTTTTCCTTCAAATTGTACCTTTTTTGAATATTTAAAAGCAAATAAAAAGCTTGAAAAGAGATTTTCTGTAGTCTTCTGGGTTATACCCACAGTTTGGTTTTCAAGTTAATTTGCATTGGGAGAGGGAGACAAAGCAATGTGATGTATGCACAGGTACTGCGCTACTAGTAAAGAGACTATATAGTCACTAGAACAATTGGTTTAATAATGTAGGTCTGAGTATAGTCAGTTCCTGCAGACTTTTTGCTGTAAGCCCTGTCTTTTACATACAGCATAGGGACACTTCCAGGGGCGGCCACTCAGACTGCCACTAGAGGTGCTTCCTGTTTCAGTGCTGCACAGACTGTCTCCACTTTTTATTTGGGGGAGGGGGATAGCAAGATAAAATGGCAGCCTTAACATTATAGGGTCTGGAATAAACGTTTGTGTTCCTTCAATAAATTTCACTGCATAATTTTGTAACTTTATTAAAAGTGATATAGCTGCCCTCTTTAACCCCTTAAGGACACATGACCTGTCATAATTCCCTTTTTATTCCAGATGTTTGGTCCTTAAGGGGTTAAGGGAGTGCTTACAATTCCAAATGACTGCTCTAGATGTATGCAATGTACTCCATAATTTGGATTGAAGAAAATATATAAATCCACACAGAAGACAAAAACACAAACTGCAGTATTTTTATTGAAATACAATTTTGATGATTCAAAAAAAGACTGAATAGAAATGAACTGTAGAAAATCAGACTATTTTGCATTAACAAATATTAATTTAATGTAAGAATATGAAAGTTAGATACAGTGAATTAAAAAAAATTAAACTCACATCTTTCTGGGATGGATTTCCTGACAGTAAAACACATTGGCTGTGTACATTCATTTAACTAGCATTTCCACTTTGCAGTGGGTGCAATACCACCAAATATGGCATTAATCTCATCGCCAAAGGTATGCCAAGAAGGATAGGCCTTCCCAGGATTAATTGGCTTTTTATTCAGACTGAGATCACATTTACATGGAACAGGCAACTGGCACTAAATATAGTCTTGATAGGTGTATGATCCGTCGGTTTCTGGCAAAGCCATACGATCTAGACAAGCCAAAATTAGCTATAGGAATATTTATTTTTTGTAATTATCTCTATGCACATTTGTACACATAGAACTTGGAATTCTGAGAACTACTTGCTGCACAGTGAAAAGCTGGGGCTAGTCTAAAAGTCACTCCTGGCTGGCTGCTCACATTATCTGCAATCTTTTAATCAGTAATGGTCACTGACAATCAATATGTAATGCGTTGATATGTTGACGCAGCAAAAAGCTTGGCTGCACCAATTGGCATCTCCTCACACACGCATTGAATCCATGAATCTCTGAGGAACGTTCAGGGCCTGCATGCACAGCTTGGGAGACTCTGAACGTCCGTGCAGCACTGACCCAGGAAGTGCCTCTAGTGTAGGTCTCTTTCCTGTTGAGGCATGCCAGTGTTTTTGCTCAGAAATTGAAACACTTGAAGCAAATGGGAATCTTGACAAGATGGTGAAGTTGGCGAGCAATTTTCCAATCCATATTGGCCTAAACTTAAATTTGCCAGTCTACCTAAATTCCTGGCTTGGTTAATTCTGGGTAAGATGCAGCTTGGTACTTTTGAATGTGGCGCTGTTCCTGCCATAGAATGTGGTGCATATTTTAATATAACCTCATTGAATTTCTCCAAGCTGTAAATTGGTGCTGTCCTAAGACCTGTTTGATTGTAGAATTGCATTGAGATTAATTTAACATAAGGAAGATGGGGAAAAATCTGACTAAAACCAACTGCTATGGTTTGAGTTTAAAAAAAAAAAAAGCTGGGTTCATCCATGCTAATGTACAAACTTCACATTTTTAGGCCCAAAAAGCCAGCTGGGGAATTGTCATTGGTTCTCTGCAATTCTCATTACTGAAACACCACTGACTGGCTGCAACAAAAAAGTGACACTTTGTGGTTAAAATATATTCCTGACAAATATCTGAACTAGGCAGACCTAAATTTAAGCCACAACTAACTCACCATGGGAGTGAATGCTTATTGATGAAACTATTTGATAAAATGTCTCAAAGATTTACATAGTTCAGAAATGACAGTACAACTTTAATTTTTTTTTTTTTTACATTTTGGACTTGTCCCCTTAAGGACAACTTGGTCATGCCACATTTTACTTCCTTGCTATTAGGCCCTGCAGCAGGTCCATGGGCAGAGGGAAGACAATTGTAGAGTTTTTCTCTGCTGCGATGGTGGTCAGGGTTTGCAGGTAACGAAGCTGTAGGGCAGCCGGTGACTCTGAGATTACGATCGCTGCTTCTTTCAAAGCCCGAGAGGCATTCATCTCTCCTTCAGCAGCAATCACCTTGGTAGAAAAATAGGATTAATATTTTTTTAGAGGGAAATAGTCACTGAAATTAAAATGGTTATGCATAGAACGGTCTTTACAAAACTGCTAAACCTAGCAAACTATCAATAAAATCCCAATGTGGCTGGAATGGTTGCGTGTGAGCTAGGGCCATAGGTGACTGCCTAGAATAAGTTTGTTTCAGCTGAAGAATAAGGCTCACAGCTAGCACCAGTGTAACAAATGGCTACAGATTGTATAATTAAAGGAACGGTTTACAAGCCCATTAATTTGGGGCAAACCTTATGAATGTGATTTATTTTTACCTTAAATTAAAACCTACATATAACTAAAGGTTTTTGTCTTAAAATTGTTTTAAATACCCCAGTTCAAAGTTCCCTTTCAATATCAGAGGCCAAACTAAATGTGTATCACTGATTCATCAACAGCTCCTGCATTCAAAAGAAAGTTTGTCCTGCACCAGTTCTACATTCTTTCAAAAACATTTAAATAGGGGAAGTTCAAAAGTTTTCAAAATCTGTACTTTTCTTAACATGACAGCTCTTAGAAAAACACTTGTCCTCTGCATTTTGTTTTTCTTTTCAGAGTTTTACATTTTTGGGAGGGTGGAAGTGCCACCAAAGCAAAATGAGGGATTTCCTAATTTTTACTGTCTCTGAATCAGTTTACTAAATTGAGTTAATTTTTAATGTTGAATTGCTCTGCGATTTCTAGCTCTGTTCTAAAATAAAACTGAAATCACTATTTAGTAGATATACACCTGATTAAAACAGGTTTAATTTTGGATTTTTTTCATTGTGGTGTATCTAAAATTGGATTGCAAAAGCTTCAGATCTCTTGTCTGCAGTCCCTGCAAGCCCTCCCCTTCTAACCCACCCAGACTTTCTGTGGCTGTCCAATCACAGACTTCCCAATGCAGCTCAATGAGAAAACTCTGCAAGGCAGGTGCTCTGGGCAATTGCTTGACTTTATCTCCACTGAGCTAAAGAACATGGAAGTAACAGGACCAATTGTCTGACAGCCAGGAGGATATAACAATGATTTCTAAAAGTAATTTTTAAAAAATCTTTACGTTTTGTAAACTTGGGGGAAAAAAGGGCACAGTCTTCACAGAAAAAGCACATCAGCAAGTTCGAATACTTTAGGTGTGGGAAGTGTTCCTTTAATGTGCACCAAGAAACATGTCTAATCAGTGCAGGAAGAGACAGCCTGGATCCAGACAATATAAAAGGCATTCTAATAAGTATCTGAAAGGTTCTCCGGCTTGCTGTGTCCAGGCAACCGCTCCCATTCTATCACTCTGTCTCTGTGACTCTGTCCTCTCGTGGTTTTCCTCCTCTCTCTCCCAACGCTCATTCAGTGTCTCCTTTTCTAATGATACCGCCTCCCCTCGCCCTGTCTCGGTTGGAGTCCCCCAAGGCTCTGTCCTTGGTCCCCTTCTATTTTCGCTTTATACTGCCTCTCTTGTCAAACTTATTACCTCATTTGGATTCCACTATCACCTGTACTCTGATGACACCCAGATATATCTCTCCTCCACGGACCTCTCCCCCGCCGTCCTGCAACGTGTCACTGCTTGCCTTTCTTCCATCTCTGACTGGATGTCTTCCCGCTTTCTGAAACAATCTCTCTCAAACTGAGATCCTCCTATTTCACTCTCCCTTCAAGATAGTGGTATACACATAAATCCATCCTTGCAAGCGCGCTGTCATGGCATCATACTTAAAGGGACACTGTAGTCACCCAGACCACTTCTGCCCATTGGAGTGGTCTGGGTGCCAACTCCCACTACTCAACCCTGCAAGTGTAATTATTGTAGTTTTTTATAAACTGCAATAATTACCTTGCAGGGTTAATTCCACCTCTAGTGGCTGTCTACTAGACAGCCACTAGAGGGCACTTCCTGGATTATAGCAGAGCGTCGCTGGACGTCCTCACGCTGTGTGAGGACCTCCAGCGTCACTCAATTCCCCATATGAAAGCACAGAAATGCATTTTCAATGCTTTCCTATGGAGAACTCTAATGCGGCTGACGTAATCACTGGGAGAAGTGGCGGTGAGCAGAAACCACCGCCGCCGGACAGCTACCGGGGATTGGGAGGGAGAGGGGACCTGCAGTGCCAGGAAAACAGATTGTTTTCCTGGCACTGGAGATTCCCTTTAATTCTGGCCTCACATCCAGTATGTTACTAAATCCTGTAGATTCCATCTTAAAAACATAGCCCACATCCGCCCCTTTGTTATGCAAGATGCTACTAAGTAGTTTGTCCATGCTTTAGTAATTTCTTGCATGGCTTATTGTAGCCCTCTCCTAATTGGTCTTCCCAAAAGCCATATTGCCCCACTACAGTCTGTAATGAAAGCTGCGGCTAGACTCAAGTCGGTCCTCTCAGCACTTGGCTACATTGGCTTCCTGTATCCTATAGGAGTCAATTCAAAGTACTAATCCATATCTATAAAGCATTGACCAATTCTAGCCCCTCCTATATTCACAGATCCATAGGTTTGCCCCTTCTTGATCTCTAAGCTCTGCCCGCTACCTTCTCCTGCCCGCTGCTCGCACCCGTACGGCCAACTCACGCTTGCAGGACTTCTCGCGGGCGGCTTGCTTCCTATGGCATAGTCTGCCTACCACCATCAGACTCTCCCCTAGTCTTCAATTGTTTAAAAAGTGCCTTAAAACGCATCTCTTTAGGAAAGCTTATGGCCTCCCAGAGTAACCTCTACCTCACATACCTGTCCCTTGCTCTCTCCTAAAGGGCAGCACTCTACTCTCTCCTCCAGCTCTGCTTCACTCCCACCTTATTAGATTGCTATTTCCTGTCCTAATGTGTTTTATACCCCATCTCCTATAGACTGTAAGCTCGTTTGAGCAGGGTCCTCTTCAAGCCATCGTTCCTGTAAGTTTTCTTGTAATTGTCCTATTTATAGTTAAATCCCCCCTCTCATAATATTGTAAAGCGCTACGGAATCTGTTGGCACTATATAAATGGCAATAATAATTATAATAATAACCCATATCAGGAATGTTGTATGCTGGTTGCGTTCTGTCGGAGGAAGAAGCTATTGAATGATCACTAGAGCTGGAATACCAATGTAGGGGGCTATTTGCTACATTGGAATTTGGACAGGGGAATTTAAAATCAAAATAGCAAAGTTAAAGATCAAATGGTTTAAGGGAGCCATAATTTATCACGTAGTAATCATTAGAGATGAATGTATTATATGCTTAGTGGGGTAAATTAAATAATTAGCATTATTTAGCATGAAGAGACGCGTACACAACACTGTGTTTCTAAACTGAGACATGTAAAACCTCTTACTGCCAATCTAATTATAGTATTTGGAACGTACAAAGTGTATCTAGCTCACAACATATGTCACAATGCAATCACATGGGACAAGTCACAAACCACGGACATCATCATTGTTTTCAGGGCAGACACTTATTTGCTGAGCAGTAAGTTGTCAAATCATCACAGGACTCGATTTGGAGCCAAGATGGAGTTGACCCATTTTTGTAATGCATTATATAAATAATGAATTCTAAATATAAAACAATATAAAAAAAAAAATTAAAAAACACTTTTTTTTCCCCCTGTAAATCCCAACTTATTTTACGAGTTTCTGCTCTCGCTCAAACCAGGAAATAAATCTGTCAATGTCGATATCGGTTAACTTTCCATGACACTCCTGAGATTATCCCATAAGCCCCTGTTCAGTGGCAAAGCAAAGGTTTGTGGGAGTTGTATTTTAAATGTTAGATAATGTAAAAAACCAAAAGCTGAAAGTAAAAACGTTATTGCATCTTATCCAGCAGTATTTTGTGAGCAACTAGGGAAAAGCTTAGAGAACAGAATTAAAAGAAAAATCAGCAAACGTAATTCTATCATAACCCTGAATAACGCACCTAGCATGTGTGGCCGCCTGAAGTGCCATTTTAGACGCCTGGAATTAGTAAAAAAGTATCTGGCTTCCTTGTTGGCTCATCTTAAGTGCCATCGCAATGTTTATTTTACAGTTTGGGTGCACAGAGAATATTAGATGAGTAACAGACTGCAGTTATTATTCTTTAAAAAACCCCGGCATATCCTGCAGGTCTGCCAACATTTCACAACTAGGACAAAAGAGGGAAGGTTTCCTGGCTCAATCCCATAAATTGCACATTCCAACTGAGCAACAAGATATCCACAGAGCCGCCTGCACTAAAAGCCATTATTATTCTTTATAAATGCGGGGATCGGGGTATTGGAGCGATATTCATAAATTAACCAAAACTGTTGACTGTTCCACCGCTACATTCCCTTCTGAATTAGGATTATTTAAAAAGTTTCCATAAACAAGGTTGATAAAACAAACCATGGGTCACATTCTCATAGCCGCAACATCTTCCTTCTGTTAAGGAGGTTCTAAAATTAGGAAGTCTTAGGAAGTGGCCCTCAGACAACCGTTACCATTATTGGATGAACTAAAATATTATTGGACGGAGTGAGAGAGACAATATGGGAAAAACCTATCGCTTGCAAATTAGGGACTTGTTTGTTTTTGTAATATTGTTATGGTTTAAAAAAAAAAAAAAAAAATCTTTCAAAAAAAAACAATTTGAAAAGAAATGCAATGCAGAGGTCTAGGAGTAATAATGTCGCGAACTGTCCGCCGAACTGTTCGCGAACTGTCCGCCGGTGAACAATAGCGTGTTCGCGTTGGGCGAACATATCCGATTTCCGGTCCGCCCCCTATACGTCATCATTGAGTAAACTTTGACCCGGAACCTCACAGCCAGCAGACACATTCCACCCAATCAGCAGCAGACCCTCCCTCCCAGGAAGTGTCTGCTGACTGTGAGGTTCCGGGTCAAAGTTTACTCAATGATGACGTATAGGGGGCGGACCGGAAATCGGATATGTTCGCCCAACGCGGACAGTTCGCGAATAGTTCGGCGGACAGTTCGCGACATCTCTATGTAGGAGAATAATTCTGGGGTGTATTTAACTGGAACAGAAGCAAACCCACAGCATAGGATTTAGATGTCACCCATCCCTTCCCTTCTGTCACCAGGAACGTGTGACACGACTGCCGTCATTCTTCAGCGCAGCTTCTCGCCCTCTGCCCCTTAGGGCTGGCAGGAATTGTGAGGATATTCTGTGAATTTTATGACATGACTCTCTCTCCAGCTAGCTATTACACTTTCTTTTCATAAATATTAATGATGCATTGTGCCAGTGTTCTAAGAGTATTAATGCACGCAATTGCATTTTCCCTTGAAATATGTATTTTTCTACATCAAATATATAGATAGACCTGGTAAGGTACATATTTGTGTCATATATTATCCATGATGCAAAGTCCAGGGGAGTGCTTGAAAGGTGAAAATGGGGGAGCAGTTGTCCCCCAGACCAAAACTAGCAGGATGTGTGCTGGGATACCTATTGGTGCTTTGTTGCAGGAATGCAATTTCAGTTGTTATGGTTGGTTTGGTTACAAAAAGAGTGTTCACTTATACTTATGCCTGAGGATTAATGTAGGCAATTACTCCTCTCCCCAAAAAATAAAATAAAAAAAAAATAACACAGGAAGAAGCTTATAAATCATTTGAAAAGAAAAAAAACCTGACTAAATAGTTCATTCCAGAAAATAACAATCCACTATTTATTTAATAAATGGCAACAATTACAGAAGGTTACGCAGAAAGGGTTAATGTTGGCAGCTGGCTGTGCACGGATGCGGAAACACACAGAAAGTCTCTATAATCCGTACCTCCTGGTGACTGTCCCATTAATCGGCGCTCTCCTACCTGCCTGTGCTGTGACTTATCTTGTGATAATGGTCCGGGCCATGCACTATATCGGTATAAAGGCAGCGTTACACACATGTGCAGACACCACGAAAGACTGAAAATCTCAACACAAGAAGTCAAGCAGGAGAGGGTGATCAGAACTACTCAAAACAAGGCCGATTCATCTGGGAGAGACCAGCAACGCAATGCTCACCTCTAACAGTATTTACATTATAATTTAAAATAAATCAATGATTTATTTATTTTAAAATAAAAACAAAACAAAAACAAATGGAATACAATATATGTGAGAATATAAATATGGATGTGTATAGACACGTGCACACACAATATAGACCACAGGCAGACAGGACATATTGCATAATAGTTATTGCGACTCGGCGTACAGTAAGCGTTATTAATACATTACCTTGGCTCTAGCTTCACGTGCTGCCTCGGCTTCAGCGGCCATTGCTCTCTGCAACTGGACGGGCAGTTTGACATCCTTAATCTCCACACGCTCAACTTTGATACCCCAGTCGTCAGTGGCGACATCCAGAGTGGACTGCAATTGTAAAATAGTGTTAAACGGTGAATATTTCCACAAACTGTTAAAAGAAACCAACTCAAATTATCATCCCTATTGTGGAACAAAAATAAAATCCTAAATTAATCTTTACACCTCTCCAAAATCTTGAATTGAAAGGACAGCGGTCACCTCAAAACCAATTTTAATATTATAATCCTTTCATCAAGTATTATACTTCAGCCATATACATGCACATTGGGTCTGACAGTGTTAGGAAACCGACAGTTAGTCTCTATGGTCTCTTACCTGCTTCTGTGCATGAAGTGAAGCAGGGAAGACCATAGAGACTGTCTGACCCAAGGTGCATGTATATGGCTGAATGATCCTGTCATATGCTAAAAGGAAGGATGGATTTAAAAAAAAATAAAAAAATAGAATTAAATAATTTCCTTTCAATACTTGATGAAAAGATTAATGTACGGTAACATAGGTGAAATTGGTCCTTTAAGCTCAGTGTATGTACCATTGACATGAAAAGAGACAATGTGTTTTTAACCCATTGTCAATGGTTATGATACGTTTCAGCTTGTGAATCCTTACCTGCATGCTGTGGGCAATCTCTTCTCGGTCAGAGAGGATCTGAGACAGGTTCTTGGTTCCCAGTACGTTCCTCAGTGTGGTCTGAGCCAGCAGGCGGGTAGCAGAATCGGCATTTGTAATGTTTGCTACAGCTAGGGTAGCATTTTGGACACGATAATACACAACGCCGTCCACACTAACAGTTACGGAGTCTTTTGTCAAAATCTGAGAAGACAAAAAGGAATCAAGTGAAACATTTAAAATATATATATATATATATTTATTTAAACTACAACAGAATTATTATTATTTTTTTCTTTAAAGTTCTTTAATGGTATCATTGAGGATGTCCTGTCCAGCTGGCTGCACACTGGGCCCTTGATAGTGGCCTGTGGCTACCAAGCATTATTTAAAAGGTTTGGTTTGTTAATACAAATTTTCATGGTACTGGCCAAGTGACTGGCACAACTGTTGACATGGTGCAACCTGGCACCATCAGTAGTTGAGTTGTGGTGTAGCTTCATGTTTTGGGATTGCGCATTAGCAGTGATGGCTCTAAGAGAGAAATGGGGAACATGAGGAGGAAACTAAAACAAAGGGACTATTGAATAAGTAGGGGAAGGAATAAGAACAAATCTTTCAGATAAAGGGTTTTCAGATAATCTTTCAGATAAAATGTAACTGTGGAGCTCTGTTATACACGCAGACACATTACTGGTAGTATTATTACTGTGGAGCTCTGTTATACACTCAGACACGTTACTGGGAGTATTATTGCTGTGGAGCTCTGTTATACACTCAGACACATTACTGGGAGTATTATTGCTGTGGAGCTCTGTTATACACTCAGACACATTACTGGGAGTATTATTGCTGTGGAGCTCTGTTATACACTCAGACACATTACTGGGAGTATTATTGCTGTGGAGCTCTGTTATACACTCAGACACATTACTGGGAGTATTATTGCTGTGGAGCTCTGTTATACACTCAGACACATTACTGGGAGTATTATTGCTGTGGAGCTCTGTTATACACTCAGACACATTACTGGGAGTATTATTGCTGTGGAGCTCTGTTATACACTCAGACACATTACTGGGAGTATTATTGCTGTGGAGCTCTGTTATACACTCAGACACATTACTGGGAGTATTATTGCTGTGGAACTCTGTTATACACTCAGACACATTACTGGGAGTATTATTACTGTGGAGCTCTGTTATACACTCAGACACATTACTGGGAGTATTATTGCTGTGGAACTCTGTTATACACTCAGACACATTACTGGGAGTATTATTACTGGGGAGCTCTGCTATACACTGAGACACACCAACAATATGGAGCTCCTGGAAAGGAGGGACATTAGGACTCTCCCTCCTAAATGGGGACGCTTGGGAGGTATGTAAGGAAGAGAATGAGCATACGGAATAAAAAGAAGAGGAGAATTAATAAAGATGGATGGGGTAGGAATTATGTTGATGGGAAGACATGCAAGACAAATTCTATGACACTCTTAGCACCATCACCACTACAGCGCACTGTAACAGCTCAAAATGCCAGTCTTTCTTATAAGGTTTATTACTGTCTGAATGAAAAGGAGGAGAGTTGATGGAAAATGATGCAAGAAAGAAACATGTAGCGTTCATTGACGCAACCTCTTAGAGAGCAATTAAATCAATAATACGCCCAGGAGACAAAAAACAATATTCTGTGAAGCTACCGTGTCTGTTTACAGGAAGAAAGAGTGCTTCTATATCGAGACCAACCAGACAACGCACCAGATCTGTGCTATGTAAAGAGGAATAGCTAGGTATTGCTTGTTAACAGCGTGCATAGCTCGAGGCCCACGGACTTCATGCTAACTCTTATCCCGTTAGTTGGAATAGGTTTTCATTTTTTTCTTCAAATAATGAGGACTGCCTGTAAACGCTCTTCAGAAAAACATACGTAAAAAAATAAATTAGTAAAAACACTAATTAGAGTAGCTATTTGGGAGAAAGCCAAAGATTTCCAGTAAGTGGAAAGATTTCAGATGTGTTCTGTTTTATTTTATTACACGACATAAAAATAGGATGCAGAAAAAGCACAATCATTTTCTGTGTGAGTGCTACTTAGAAATGAAAAAAAATAATTAAAAAATAAAGTGTGTACAATAATCTCAACATTAATTTTCTGAACATAACATTCTACAGAAGATGAAAGTAGCTGGGAGTCAATTGAGGATAAACCTGGATTTTTCCTTAATCGAGGAGATACGGTGACTTGGAAACAGAATTGCAAATTTAGACAAAAATAGCCAATTTGGGAAAATTCTTCAACTTTACTGTAGTTTTATTATTTTAGCTTACAATTTTGCAAATCAGATGTATTTACACTGCAAAAAAAAAGGGAAATCTCACTATGAAACGCATAAATCAGTTCAATATATTAATAAGATGATGATATAACAATAAGTAATTGGGAAGTTTTAACGAATCACAGGCCTATTAAGATTTAATTAGCATTAATCCAGCAATTAGTGGATTTCTTCTCTAGATCCGTGCACACCTGAGTGAAGGGTTAGTTATTAATACCTATTGTTCATCTAACTACCGAGATAATGACTTTGAACTTCTAACTCTCCTCTCTTTCATAATCCTAGTTCTTTATCTCCAGCATCTCGATTAGAGCATTACTAACATTTTCCATAGGAAATATTTACCCTTTGAGGGTTGAAGTGGTTAAATAATATATTTGTAGATAAGTCTCTATCAGTGTTAACTTTTCTCCATTGATGTTCTCACAATTACAGACTTGTTTCTAGCCTATTACCCGTCCCCGCTCCCAATCAGAAATGTTGGGGTCTTTACAAACTAAAGATGCTGACGTCACCCCCCTATAACCGATTCCCTACACCTCTCCTTTGTGTTTATTTTTACTATTCCCACTTTCTGATGCTTATTCTCCACTTCGACGACACACGTTGGCACCACCTGTTTACGTGGTTTTGTACCCCCTTCGTCTTTTCATGCCACCTCCTTTTACTAGGAGGCGGCATTGGCAAATTCAATGCCCTAAAGGACCAAACAATGGCCGAAGAATGCGTCAACTTTCTTAACCTGTCTGTTATTCGCTGGATGTTACCACCGAGGGCCGCCCTGTCACCGAATTTAATATATAATTGGTGCATTAGTCTTATAGCTCTTATTGAGGAAGAAACTCTGTGTTTCCATATATTAAATAAGACCGCGTTGGATAGTAATAAAGAGGAAAAAAAATACTTGACAAAAAAATGGACATTTAAATTTTATAAATAATGCTGTAATGCTTCATCTAATCCATAGCTGAACTACATGGGCACAAAGTTCAAGTACAGCTGAAAAGCCAGCATTAAACTAACAAAGGTGTGTTTATTGTGGTTTACATTACCTCTTGGGGTGGAATGTCAAACGATATGGTCCTCATGTCAACTTTCGTAAAACTGTCTGTGCAGGGCAGAACAAAGAACAGACCTGTGGAGGGGACACAGTTTGTGACACCAATTATAAAGAAGAAAATAAATGTATGGGTAAAAATCTATAAGGGTCAAACTCAAGGAGGTTCAGGAATGTACACAGAGGTCACAGTTGAATGACTCATTACAAAATGACTTCTCCAAACCTTTTTAAAAAATATTAAATTAAAAAAAAAAAAAACGCTACCTAAAAAGTATAATATATGTCCTATCATCTTACAGGATCACAGGACCGTTCTGTCAGTGAAGGAATTACAATACAGCTTAAGCTGGTGTCAGAGGACATAACTGGTAATCAAAAAATCCTAAGTCTAAATGTCCAAAAGTATTGCAGCAGGAACAATGGTTTTCATTAGAATGTTACTCAATAATTCTTCTCAAAGTGACAGTTTAAGCATCAAAACCACTTCAGATCAGTGTAGTGGCTATGGTGCTAATAAATGTATTCATTATTCACATATAATGCCAATCAGCTGAATTGGAAACGGTCTCATGGTCAGCCATGTTTTCAGTTTGGTTAAAATGTAAATTCCTCACAATTCACACATTTCAGTGAACAACAATTAATTAGTGATAAATGACTTACCTGGGCCTTTTGCTCCTCCTCGCAGGATGCGACCAAGTCTGAAAATGATGGCTCTTTCATATTCTTTTACAATCTAGAATTAATAAAATAAATAACATAAAAGCAACATCTCACATATTTGACAAATCACACCAAAAAAGCAAATATTTTTCGATAGGAAAGCAAGCTATTACCCCACGAAGTTTTTATTTTCTGTGCTCCTAGACAAGAGAAAGATCAGGATAGAAAAGAGAGAGAGAGGGATTTGTGCCCAAAATAGAGACTGTCCTTCCGAACAGGGCCAGATTAAGAGACTAGTGGGCCTGGTGCTGACAATTATGATGGGCCTAATTACAGAATTTATCGACCAAAAACACTAAAACAGTCATACTTTCCTAGCATCATGTATCTGATGGAGATGGTGTTGGAGGGAAACTCAAAGGATGCAGCTATAAGAAAACACATACTGTATGCTAATCTCTCTCTGATTCATGCTTTCATCTTAAAATAAATCCATACCCCCTAACAGCAGTGTCCAGTGAAGCAGGAAGTCAATGGGCGGGATAAAAGGGTGGGCCACTGACGCGAATCAAGTGATCAGGACTGCCAAAAGGGGCAAACATGCCCAAAAAGGGAGCATGTCTGTCCAAAGAATTGGAAGGCCAGCCTGGCATCAGTGTCCCTATGTATCACAGTTTCAGTGTCCCCATGTCGCCCAGTTCCCTAGTCTCTCAGTGTCGGTGTGCCCATTTCTCACAATGTCCCTATGTATCAGTGTGTCCCGTGTCACTAGGATACTAAGGGACACTGAGAGACATGGGGACACAGTGAGACATGGGGACACAGAGACCGGGGGACACTGAGAGACATGGGGGCAAAGAGACACTTGGACACTGGGAGACATGAGGGCACTTGTGAGTACAGACATCAGGACACTGGGAGACATGGGGACACTGAGTTAAATGGGGTCATAGACACTAGGGACAAAGCGACATGGGGACACAAACATTTGACACTAGGGACACTGACAGGCATGGTAACACAGTCTGGAAGAACAGGGGACACAGGGAGACATGGGGTCACAGACACTAGGGACACTGGCTGGGAGGCATGGGGACACAGATACTTGGGGACACTGGGAGACATGGGGGCACTTGTGGACATAGACATGGGGACACTGAGAGACATGGGGACACAGACACTGGGAGACATGGAGATACTGTGTCCCTAGTGTCTCCGTGTCCCAATGTGTCTCCCTATGTCTCACAGCATCCCCATGTCTCACAGTGTCCCCTAGTATCCCCAAGTTTCCCAGTGTCCCCACGTCTCACAATGTCCCCTAGTGTCTCAGTGTCTCCACGTCTCCCAGTGTCCCCTAGTGTCTCAGTGTCCCCATGTCTCCCTGCTGCCTTTCCCCCCATCCCTCACTTACCTGAGCTGTAGTCTGTCTCTGCAGGCTGGGAGCTGCTGTCTGGACTCTGTGCTGTGTAGCTGCTCCCCCGCAGATCATTGAGTAGAGAGAGGCAGGGAAATGCTGTAACTTCCTATCCCTGCCTCTCTCCATACACAGTGACCCCTACTGGCTGGTGCTGGTATTGCAGAGTAATCTCCGTTTATACAGAGGAATATATTTGCATTTGTATTTCCGGTATTACTGCAATATCGTCACGGTCAGGCAGCCTCAAATATCGGCTATGCCTTAAAATACCAGTCAGGTGGCAAACCTAAGAGTAGTGTGTAAAAAAATAAATAAATAACTTACTTTTTTTTTTTTAAGTGGGCCTATTCCATGGGCCTGGGCCTGGAGCTGCAGCTCCGTCAGCCCCTATGTTAATCCAGCCCTGCTTCCTAAGCAGGGACACTTGGGAGGTATTTTAATACCTGCAGTTTATCTATTCAGTAGCTCTTTTTTTCCGCCTCTTGAAATAATACCTACACAAAATGCTAATATATAGTCTTTGGTTTAATTAGTGATACACAAATTGTAAATTACATAAAATTTTTGTTAAAACACACAAATATTTATTTATTACTGGCATTATTAAAGCGGCAATATATTCCACAGAGCTGAATATATTATACAAATACACACACATTATTTTATATATATTTATATATACACACCCATAACTCTGCTATGTGGTTATTAAAGGACATCGGTGTCAGTGACAATTATGTTTTCAACAGACAGTGGATTGTAAGCCAATATCTTACCTTTATACACATCCATATTGTTATGGGGAAAGTGAGAATCATGAGAAGAGTCGAGATGATTACAATTACCCATCCACAACATCCAAGTCCTGGGTCCAGAGACGCTGTGAAAATACACATACATTGAGGTTAGATGGTTCAATTATATATTCATGGTCAATCAGGCTAGATATTGGTGATGTTCGAGCAGATCTGTTAACATGTCATATACGTCTACAAAACGGTAAAACAAGGTCATTGTATAAACTCTCAAAATGAAATCTAAAATGTAGGCAGATTGCCAGAATTCTACACGGATTACTGAAATCTAGCAATTAGAATGCTCGCGTAACTTTCTATATCTCTGAGGAACTAATCCCATTACAAGATGTTTATTGGCACCACGCACAGAAAGGGTTCTGGGAGTTATTACAGCAAGTTATTGATGTACAAAGACAAGAGGCAGAGAAGGCCCTGCCCAAACGAGTTTACAATCTAGGAGTGTTTGAGGTAGGTGGATGTATATATCGCTAGGGGTCTTGCCAGGACACTTACTGCTGAGGTGGGATTGGAACCAGGGTTTCCCAGTTAGCACTGATGTTAGCTCTAACCAGCCAATAGAGTTGCAGTTCAATTGTAGGAAGTCAACCGCTGAACTACAACTCCCCGAAATCTAAGTCTTAACATCATAGCAGTATTTTTGGTACCAAAAAATAAAAAAAAAATAAAAGTATAAACACTGCAAACTTGGAGGTGGAGGGAGCAGAAATGGTGGGCTTATAGGCGTGGCAAAGCAAATTAAAAACAAACAAAACCCTCCACACACATAGCACTGTGACGTAACTCAACTGTTGCATCAGATGTGTGCGTGCCTTGGGCGTGCTCCCACACTGTAATCTCCTTACAGAGATGGTTGTCACTTCTGTAACACTTACCTCCAGTCCGCGCTCCCTCGTCACTGACTTGCCTTGCTTGGGGAAGCTTCACCGACCATGGCAAACCTTCTCCATGTCCCCGTGTGAATGGAGAGTCTATTTCTATGCTCCCTAGTCAGCACCGGCTAGGGAGTTAACATAGTAACCACAGCGCATGCACCGAGTGAGGTCTCTTCTGCTCCCCTTGTTAATCAATTCTTTGGCACAGAGTCTATGCTGAAGAATTGATTGACATGTGGGAGATAAACCTATTTTAAAGTGGGGTTTTCTCCCAATATATACATTTGCTATTGGTTTGGTATAGGTGAAATTGAATGTTCTTTAAAAAAAGCAAGCATTGTTTGTAAGGGGGTGACAGCCTCCCTTTAAACGATGCACACATTTCATTTCATATGATTCTCCCCCCCCCCCATTAAACATATATCCTAAAAATGGCAGCATAGCATGTATGCAAAATATGTAAAAAAAAAAAAAAAGAAAAAAAAAAAAGTTTCAACAATATATAATACATTTTTTTTTTTTTTTTGGCATTTGCACGGACGTGAAAAGTTCAGCATTTAGCTCAAAAGGAACAGGATTGCCATAGCCTTTTTTTACTTGTAATGCAGTCTAAGCCTGTTTTTTTTTTTTTACATTATTTAATTTAAATTAGGGCATTTGTAAATTACAGGTAAAAATGAAAGAAGAGGAAAGAAATCAAATAACAAAGGCAGATGATTATCAATCTTGTTTCATTATGTAAAACCAGACAATTAAACGCTATAAATAAATCACAGTCCGGAACAATGCTCAGATTTGGCCTTTGCAGAAGGCAGTCAGGAGCCTTTACCTAAACCATTTCTTCAACCCCATCTTGACAAACTATCTGCCGGCTGCTAATTTTATTTCACAATAATAAAACCCGGTATGCGGTTCTGCAGAATATGTCGCTAGAAAGATCCTTAATTAAAAAGAATGGTAGTACAAAATCAGAAATGTCGAGAAATCTACTAGAACATTCTATGTCGTACACTCAAAAAGGTTTGAAATTTAAAAAATGAGGGCAGTTGGCAATTAAAGAGGAACGGAAAAAAAATAAAAAAATAAACAACAGGATTTTTAATATCATGTTTACTTATTCTTAGATTTAGAAAATCAGTTTTTCTGAGGTTTGAAATCTAATTTGAAATGTGTAAATCTACATGTATGGGAGATTAAAACATGTAATAGGTCATTTCAATTGTTTAATTTGAAGATGTCATTTCTAGAGAAGTAGTTCCCCCTTTAACCCCTTAAGGACCAAACTTCTGGAATAAAAGGGAATCATGACATGTCACACATGGCATGTGTCCTTAAGGGGTTAAAAGGGAACATCCACATTCAGTTAAACTGTTTTTACTCCAGGTGAGATTTCCAATAGGAGCGATTTGCTGTGTTTATTGTAAGTTCGGTGGCAACGTGCCCACGGCGTTCGTCACAGATCTCCAAGGTGGTGTTGTACCTGATGGCTGCACTCTGGGGCCCCTTGATGAAAAAAATAATAAGCTAAACAGAATGGCTTTGCACAGTGAGAAAAGATCATATGAGTTGTTGGAGACCAGGTTTGTGTACAGTTTGTTTAGTATCTATGTGCATGTGACGTGTATTGCACACAAGTCTTATAGATGGGATTCCCTGGCACAAAAAAAACACACCCACAAACAAACGCGTTGCCAACAATTCTCAAATGTGTTACATGCCCTGGTCAATCTTTTCTCTCCTAGCCATGTGTACAGAGAGGCCTAATTTACATTTGCACCTGTCCTTCTGTATCAGGACAATAAATAGCACATCCTTACAAACTGTACAGCAAGCATTGCAGGGTAAATTTCATGGTCACATTCTAGCAGTGAAGGACGGTGGTCTTTGAACATAGAGAGTATACTACAGGGTGGGGGAGGGGGGGATACAATGCTGAATTTTGCTTATTATTTATTCACTCAATGTTAGCAAGTAATATTTAAACCTAACATAACAAACATAAAAAAAAGGTCACTGGTCCTCAAGAAGTTAACCCCTTTATGGCCCATCCAACCACAAAGAAGACGACTTGTCAGAGCACCGTCTGTTTGTTCAGATCCAGGCCCACGCTGGAATAAAACAAACATATAATCGTTTTACTAACTACAGAAAGAAACAGCAAATATATTACAGGTCTGCTCTTAACTATTGTTTGCGTCATTAAAGCTACTTGGTCTTTAACCCCTTCATGACACATGACTTACCAGTGAGAAAGATCAAGGATCAAAAGAGATTTGCCTAGCGGATGGGATTAAAGGGACACTTTCAGCTGAACTCGTAGTGTAATATCATAAGTACACCATATAGCGGGATTTAAAGATTGCACTCACAAACAAATACTGATTTAGATTTTTTTCACACACATATTTAATGTAAGCACATGTATGTGTCTTAGACATATGTATATATTTAAGTTCTCTTGCAGATGCACTTTGAATCCTTCTGGCCTTATCTCTGTTAATTTATCTGTTGCAGTTTTTTTTTCTTTGAATTGATACATAAATTGTGTAATACGTTTATTGCATATTTTGTAATTTAGGATTATGATACATTTATGTTCAGTTTTACATGCAATATCGAGTATTATATGGACTCTTAATAAAGTTGGCATTCAAGAATCCACGATATGATAGCGCTTGAGATGGAACGCGAGCGCTTCTGCTGGTCTCTATAGTTATGGAACACATACGTACTACGTGGTACGTACACGTGATCGCATGGCTGACTGAAGCGAGGCTCGGAACACACTGGAAGAGAAACAAGCAACACCTGTAGCCTCCCATCACGGATGGGCTGATGGCATCCGTGGGAGGGACATATATGGATTTAAAAACGAGGCCGGGGCGGTAAACAGAGATTACGGTACAGGAGACTCGACATTTATTTTTACCCCTGAGGAAGTCCGAACTTTATCGGACGAAACGCGTAGGGTTAGGCTATTGTAGAGAGTTTTGCCTTTTCCATTTGTTTAGATATATTTTCATTTTGTCTTAATTTTGGTTTTTATATTTAATAAATTGTTCTGCCAGTTGAGGAGTAGAGATGTCGCGAACGGTTCGTGGCGAACGCCGGTCAGATGACACATCCTGGCCAATCTCCAGCAGACCCTCCTACTTCCTGGACAGCATCCATGTTGAAGGCAGCTTCAACATGGATGCTGTCCAGGAGGTGGGAGGATCTGGGAGGGAGGGTCTGCCGTAGATTGGCAGGGATGTGTCAGCTGACCGGAATTCGCCACGAACGGTTCGCGGCAAGTTCGCGGACGGTTCGCGACATCTCTATTGAGGAGGTGTTTTTCTCCTTTCCTCCATTGAGACAACCTGCGGACTGCTACTGCTGGTTATAAAATCCTGGGATTTGATATGCAGATATATCACTACGATCTTGTAAATGTTACTAACTAAAGCGCACAACCCGGTTAACAACAGTCTGCACTTATTATTATTTTTATTATCTTTTACATGCCCATTCACGTGTGGAAGACCTTGTGCCAACTTTAATAATTGATTCTATTTTTCTCTCACTGTAGATCCTTTCTATTTAGGTTGTGAGGACTAAGAGGAGTCCTTTTTATTTGTTTTACAGTTTGGAATATTATCATATAGATAAATTATATTTACTTTTACCTTCACACTGTCTTTTCATATTAATTTTAAGGGGGGTTATTTGTTGTATTTTACCTATCATTGCCAGCATGATAGAAAACGTGCTACAGTCTATAATGTATCGCACATTCACAGTCCCATCCACAACCACCGGCTATCCTTAGGACGTAGGATCATGGTTTACAGCAGTCAATAAATACGCCATGTGCATTAAACAGCGTTCGAAAAGGGATTAACTAAATATGGACAATAGGTGAGTTGGCAGTAGAAGATCATAGATGCTGGCACCAACAACTCACAAGCGCACACATAACTAGACAGCTAATTGAAAGTCATCGTCCTCACCCAACCTGTACCGAAACATTAATAAAACATCCAGGTGACACACCAATGCAGACCATACACCACTGTAACCACAAACGAATGACCAAAGGAGTGCGGAACACACAGGGATTATACAAAACCTAGTTAGTCATCTCACAAGAAAGCACACGAAAAAAGTCGATTTAGCAAAGAGGCAAAAATCGGAAACTAACAGAAACAACAATCTATGGCACAAACCAACCAGGTTGGACACCACAGATAACATCAATACCTCTCTTCCGACCCACCAAGCTAACTACAAATGCATGAGTATTCAACGTATAAGTTTATTGCAAAAAGTTAATATACACAAATGCGATTCCATATGTATGTTCAAAAATGTAAATCAAGCTAATGTAAATGCAACTTTTACTCAACCCTCACTATCCTTTTTCTTCTGTACCCCAACTGCAATAAAAATTGTCAAATTTAAAAAAAAAAAAAATACGCCATGTGTACATAATTCCCTTAATTTTCCTTCTCTGTAAAAGGATACGTTTCTTGCTAAGAGGTCATTGCACAAACGCTGAATGATAACATGGCACTATTACTCATTGATTAAGATAAGTAATGGAACCTAGATTACCAGAGCTACACTCGGCCCATTTCCTTTCCTTTGAAACGTCACATTTCTTGCCGTAGGAATTTTTACAAGGTTATGAAATAATTAAACAGGTCAGGTGTCTCTTTCATAAATGAAGGTTTCCCAGTTTCCTGATGGCTCAATAACAAAAACACACGTTTGTATACTATGTAATAGTCCCCCGTCCAATAGGAAGACCCAAACATAATTACTGGTATTTAATGTATTTTCCCCATTGAAAACATTGATTTCTAAAGTCCCGTGACTTGTCATAAGATGCAAATATGTTGTGTTTGTAGAGTTACACAACGCCTCTGACTAAGCACTGTAATTAGAACATTATGTAACACTACCTACATTCAATGCAAATCTGTATCCCAGGGAACTGAAAATGCAGAATCGTTTTCCATCAACACCGAAGCAAATGTGCTTAAATCTTTTTTTTTTTGCAATTGAAAAAATTATTGTGCAGGTAGGTACATGACATTTCCAAACGCCACAACAGCGTACATATAGCTATTCATACAGACTTAGCCGTGGCATGAGTGCGTGCACATTGTTAAAGTATAAACAAGGTCAATATAACAGGCTTAACATTGGTTAATAGTTACTGCAATGTAGTTTAGCATGTAAGTGAATTAGGGTTGTTTTGCTGTATACTACTGCAGTATATTGAATGATGGAACATACAAGTCTGAATGAAAAACAAGCCTAGGAAATCATAGGATACAGCAGATATGGGGAATGTTACGGTTATTAAATATATTAGGTAGGCAAGTGAATAGTCTGGCAATACTGAATGGCTAGTACAGTTAACCCCCAAGGCTTTACTCCCTTGATCATAGCTGCATTATGCATGTTATCACAGGATTCCTAGCGACAGCATCATTAGAATCTGTATGAAAATCAAAAAGAGAGAGGACTTAAAAAAAAAATTAAAAAACACAAAGAAGGAAACATAAAATACTTTGAGCCTTATTCCCAGGCATGTAGATGTCAGACTAAGGGTGGCATGGTCAGTGAGTACAGCGTCAGCCTATGCCCAGGCTTGGGGAGGAATAAAGGCTGTCCATGGTTTGTGCAGTGCAGGAGCTGAGCGTGGAGACCCTCCAGCCCTGGGTCATGGTGAAAACCAGCATCACCACAGGCTCGGATCCTCTGTCTTGAGGCCAAGTCTCTTCCGAAGTAAGGGACGGCTGGTGCTCCTGCTGTAACGTCGCCGCCAGCGGCGGTGGATCCTCAGCCTCCATGGCAGATGCAGGGCTATTATGCCCTTGGTGGCCTTGAGCCCAGGCTGGCCTGGTTGAGCAGTATCAGATGTTTGATGTGGGTGTTTGCCCTAAAGGGGGCTCGCTCACCTCCCGCTGCTCTCTGCTGTGCTCTTCCTCTTGGTTCTGGCGCGGTGTTTCCATGTCACGGGCCTCTAACTTTGCACAGAAGAGCCGGTCTACATTGTGGAGTAGGCACTCAAACGTGTTCTGGAATGACATCGCAATTTTTTTCATGTCAGGCGCTTGTGTGTCAGGAGTATCCGCCATTTTAAGATTGACGACAGCTGCTTAATCTCGTCGCTGGATGGCTTCTTGATGCTGGGTATGTCGGGGGGAGGGATGACCCCCACAGGTCCGGGGGGGGGGGTACAGCTTGGAGAGATTTGCACTCTGCTGGGTATAGGGCTCGGAGAGCGTCCGTCTCTCCTCTGCCCACGCTTGTGTAGGCCCCAAGCCCAATTGGCAGCATTCTGTTGCCTAAACGGATGGAATTTGGTATTGCTGGATGCACCGTTGTATCCTTGTCTGGGTGGTCATTGGTAGCAGGTCGGATTGGAAAGTGGCTCAGGTAAAACTCTGTGGAGCTCAGGTGATGCACGTCTGATCAGCTCTGCATGCAGGCAAATGTGCTTAAATCTTCATTTTAATGTGACAACTTTAATATTCTGCTGCACTAATGGATGGCATGCACATTTTGGTCATGAACCAATGGTGACGAGTCGACGTTCACAGAAGCTTACAGTATCATACCTCCCACCCATTGCGAATTGGCACAGTTCGAATTTTGAGCCCCTTTCCTGCTGAGCTAGGCTAGTACTTTGGTATTCAGTTTTTGGTTCAACATGAATGCACATCACTTCACTAACTGCAGTGATTTTAAGTGGTTATGATGCCTGCAGTCTGTAAGTGCATTGCTTCGAAACGCTGCACATATGAAACATAATCCCTTAGCTGCCAGAGGTGTGACCACACTTTTGCCAGCTTCATGGGGCATCAGCCAGCCTGGAAAAAGAATTCTGGGTTGGCTAATGTCAATTCTGTGCACATTTAATTTTTCTGCACAGTGAGTCATTTATTGTCTAAAAGCGGTTAGCTGACGCGCTCCGCCAGTGAATGGCGGCTGGATCTGCAGAAGAAGGAAGCTCCTCAGCAGTGGAGCTAGGAGCCTCAAAGCACAGTGAGGACCCAGTTAAGAGGGCAAACTGTAGCTAAACAGTTAGCCCCATTCCTGAGGAACCAGGCTAGGTTACTCCTGGCACCATAACAACTGCAAAATGCTATAATGCTTAGATTAATCCCTTAACTGCTGCACATATGAAAATAAAGGACAGTTGTGTGAGCTGCCATGACCTGTCTCAGTGATCATTTATATGTTTTAATTTATTTCTAATCCTTGTGTTCATTGATGCAAGTGGAGGCCTGCTTCACTGCGCAGAGATATTTGGATATAATAAGTTACCTAATGATCATCATAAATAGGTGCAAACATTGCAAACTGTCATATCTTCTGGTCTTCAAATATTGTTTGTTCTCTCAAACAAAACGGGCATCTTTGAACAGAACCAACCCACATGACTGAAGAACTGACAGTCAGCATCCAGAGAGTTACTTATTTGGAAAGGAGCAATTGGAATAATTTAGCATAAACCATGTAATATGTTATCAGCAGGCACAGCAGTTAAAGGATTGATGAAGCGAGACAGTGTGACGGGTGCATGACTTGAATTTACCATCTCTATGGGAGCAGTATTGGAATTAAAGGACCACTATAATGCCAGGAAAATAAACTCTTTTTCCTGGCACTATAGGGTCTTTAGGTCTCAGGGTCCCACTCTCACTGGGCTGGGCTGGAGGGGGCTGAAGGGGTTAAACACTTACCTGTCTCCAGCACCAGGCTCCCTCAGCGCTGGGGATCTCTCCTCCATCTGCCGACGAATGCGCATGCACGGCAAGAGCCACGCACGCATTCAAACAGTCCATAGTAAAGCATTACTCAATGCTTTCCTATGGACGTCCAGCATCTTCTCACTCTGATTTTCACAGTGAGAATCGAGGAAGCGCCTCTAGTGGCTGTCAGTGAGACAGCCACCAGAGGCTGCTATGTTTTCCACTGCAGGGTTAAAACTAGAGGGACCTAGCACCCAGACCACTTCATTGAGCTGAAGTGGTCTGGGTGCCTATAGTGGTCCTTTAACTTTAGGGGTGTTGTAAATTCGTACGTGTCAATCCTTCTCCCTGTGTAATAGCTGATCAGCTGGAGTTTAAGGAGATAGTGTGAAGGACTTGGTCCGGGGCTCCTGGAAAACGTTTCTACACAACAGGCTATTTCCCTACCTGAATACAGTTTGAAGACGGACTTCAACCAAAGTCTTAGGAATAAAAACTACAATCACAGATAAAAAGGATTAGACTTTACACAGTGATAGCCAGGCCCGGACTGGCCATCGGGCATACCGGGCAAATGCCCGGTGGGCCGCGATGGCCGTGGGCCGAGGCCGGCAGGGAGATCACAGGATCTCCCCGGCCGGCCCCTGCAGGGCCAGCGCTATCCGAGCGCCGGCCCCGCTGTGTGTCTCCGTTTGCCGGTGTTGAGATCACAGATCTCCCTCACTGGCCCACAAGAATGGAGATGCGGCCGCCAGCTGGGTGAGGGAGGGAGGACCCGGCGGAGCTCTAACAAGCAGCTCCGCCGGGTCCTCTCGCGGGATTCTGAGCGTTGCCGCGGCACTCTGAGCGTTGAGCGTTCACTCTCACCACTGGACCACCAGGGAAGCATGCGAGAACGGATCTCCTCCCCCCCTCCCAGGATAAAGGTAAAAAGGGAGGGGAGGGGGAAACACATAACTTTTTTTTTTTTTTTAAATTAATAAATAAAAAAAAATTATTTAAAATAAATTCCCTAATAGCCCCCTCACACACACAGCACACCCCAGACACCCACAGCACCCCCCAGACACACACAGCACCCCCCAGACACCCACACAGCACCCCCCAGACACCCACAGCACGCCCCAGACACACCCACACAGCACCCCCCCAGACACCCAGCCACCCCCCAGACACACACACAGGCACCACCCAGACACACACACAGCACCCCCCAGACACCCACACAGCACCCCCCAGCATACCCACAGCGGCACCCCCCCAGACACAAACAGCACCTCAGACACTCCACACAGCACCTCTGTGACACAACAGCACCCCCCAGACACAAACAGCACCCCCTAGACACTCCACAGCACCCCCTCAGACACACACAGCACCCCCAGACACACACACAGCACCCCTTGTGACACCCACAGCACCCCCAGACACCAGTGCACCCCCCAGGCACACACACAGCACCCCCAGACACGGACACACAGCAATCTCCCCCAGACACCCACAGTAGCACCCCCAGACACAAACAAAACCCCCAGACACCCAATAAAGCACCCCCCAGACACAAACAGCACCCCCAGACACACACAGCGCACCCAAACACACACAACACCCCAGACACAAACAGCAACCCCAGAAACACACACAGCACCCCCAGACACACACACAGCACCCCCAGATACACACACAGCACCTCCAGACACACACACAGCACACCCAGACACACACACAGCACCCCCAGACACACACAGCACACCCAGAGACACACACACAGCACCCCCAGACACCCACAGCACCCCCAGACATCCACAGCACTCCAGACACCCACACAGCACCCCCAGACACCCACAGCACCCCCCAGACACACACAAAACAGCACCCCCCAGACACACAAATGCACCCCCAGACACCCACAGCACCCCCCAGACACACACACACACAGCACCCCAGACACACACACAGTCAGCATCCCCCAGACACCCACAGCACCCCAGACACCCACAGCACCCCCCAGACACAAACAAAACCTGACACACACACACACACACCACTCCCCAGACACCCCCCAGACACACACACACCCCCAGACACACACACAGCACCCCCAGACACCCACACAGCATCCCCAGACACCCACAGCATCCCCCAGACACCCACAGCATCCCCCAGACACCCACAGCACCCCCCAGACACCCACAGCACCCCCAGACACACACAGCACCCTCTGACGCAGACAGCACCCTCAGACGCAGACAGCACCCTCAGACGGACAGCACCCTCACTCCCACACATATATATATAAAATAACCCTCAGTGAGTTAACAGACAAAGAAAATTAGAAACCTAGAATGTGACGGCAGATAAAAACACCCTCACACACAGCACCCCTCTTACACAAACACACTGCGCACCTCACACATACAATACGTCCAAATATATTCTAAATATATATACACACACACACTACAGCACCCCTCACACTGCACCACTACACACATAACGCTCCAGATACACGCTAGATCCCTTACCCTATATGCACTCTTAATCCTCTACACACACACACACACACACACACAATCTTCTATACACACTCTGGGTCCTTTACACACTAGATCTCTTACACACACACTGCACCACCTACACACACACTACATTCCTTGTAAGCAAACACATACAACATTCTCTAAACACACCCTCTCTACAACCCCTACACACACTACGTCACCTATACACACACACTACTGCCCATATGTACACACTCGCTACATCCCCTATAACACTATGCCCCTATACACGCACTCTCTACAACCCCTAGCCACACATATTACACCACAAAATTGACCTATTTACACAATACCACACCACACTCTACACACACAGGCAATCCCACAAGCAGGCTCCAAACACATGCACCATACACTTTCCTGGCCCTTTTGTCCTCTGGTATCCCACTTGTGGAGACACCAGAGACAATGTAAAAGCTAACACAGCGCAAGCATGTTATTACATTTGCTTGCGCAGTGCAGAACAAATTCAGGGCCTTTTTCTAATGCTAGAGCTCTTCAGCGGGGCTCTGTGCATTGAACCAACATGCTCACTTTGAGAGGGGGCGTGTTGTCATTAGTGATGACAAAACACACCCTCTCTGGCCCCACCCCCTTCTTGGGGGGCCGCTCTAATTGAAAAATGCCCGGGCCTAATTTTTTTCCCAGTCCGGCCCTGGTGATAGCACACACACACCGGTACCTGTCAACATGGTACAATTTTAGATGAATACATTGAAAAAAATAGTAAGACTTGTGTGGGGTAAATGATAAACTACTACGAAATCACATTTTCTTTGTAAATCATTCTACTGCCTGGTAAAAACTAACAAGATACAAAACACTAGTAAAGAACTGCAAGGATTATGCAGGGGGAATTTAATATCAGTTTTTTTTTGTTTTTTTTAACAATATTGATTAAAGGGATACTCAAGCCAACACCAACATGTCAGCTTATTGAAGTGGTTATGGTGCCAGATATCCTTTTCCTTCTGTCTTTTATATGCAATTAATGGAATAAAGTTACTCCCATAAATCTTAGGCTTCCAGGGACACCAATAAGTTTACCAAAACATTACTTTGGGGGGGCGGAGCCTAACTGGCTTCCTGAGTAGACGCACGATTGCTGAGCTCCTGCAGCCAAAACTGAAAAATCGCCCAAAACTCGTTGTTAAAGGCTCGCACCTACACGAGCTTGCCATACCTGAGCTCAGAGGGCCTCACTGAATCTCTGGATACTTCCCGATTGAGAATCGGTGCACAGCAACCCGAGATGTTTAACCGTGGTCTGCAAAAGTCACCTTACCCGACGTACCATCACCCAGCTCCTGCCATCGACAAGCTACCCCCAAGCAGAAGAGTGTAGGAAAATGGCGCCGGAGACGACGACGCCTCCAGCCTGCTCGCAACCCTGCTTGCACTCACAGAGCAAGGGATGAGAACCTTTCTGAGAGACCGCCGCAACATCGGTGGGGATACAACAGAAGGCACAACACCAAGAAGGCACGAGGTGGCACCCCTCCACCGACAGCTCCCACCTGTCAACCCACTGCGAGCCGGGAGAGCCTGCGGCAAGCAACATGGATGCGGGACACTGTACACCCACAGGCAGGCATCGGGTAAAGTGTCTAAACTGTACAAACTCTATGGCCATAAAACGAACGCTATCTTGTTGCTCATTCCTCTTTTATTTCTTCCTGTGTAATACATCTGTAGTCTCATTGGGGTATGTGAGCACATCTCTCAAATGACAACCAAAGTACCCACAATTGCAAACTACCTATCTCCTAGTACTACTAATACTGCTTAAAAATACAGCCTTACCAATATATATGCTCCACCTATGCCTATGATGCTCTAGCTAATATATTAACGTACTGGCAGAACGCATGGAAACCTATGGCCTGGGACTTAAACCCGTGTAACTTCAACGTGTTACATAGAGTGCTAATCATTATTTTATGCAGGTCACGTCTATTACCTCTCTTCTTTGTGAAACGTTAAGTGCTAAAAATTGTCGAGACCTGCAGCAAACGTGTTATAACAGCTTGTCTATCTTTATATTTTAAAAATTGTGCCGAGACCAAACTGTCATACAAATGTACAACCGTGTCAAAACTATGCTTGCTCATGCTGTCGTGGCAGTGTAAGATGCTTTGTTATTACTTGCACAATGAAAAATAAAGAATTAAAAAATATATTACTTTGGACACCCAATTACCCATTTGACAGACAGTGGTGTGTCCAGCAAACTGCTCTGTCATGTGTTCGGGCACACCGCTGGAACACAAAGGGTTCAACCAAAAAGATCATCCATTGGTTCTTGGTTGAACACAATCTTAGAATAAAAAATAAAAATTAAATACATATCTTTTTTGTGATTTTGAGAGCAGTAGCAGGGTAAGTAACGTTGTGCAAATGTGTAACTTTGTCCAGTTGTTGAAAGTACACAGGTAAAGTTAATTAGAGGAACGTTTTCAAAATACTCTGCAGAAAATTAATGACAACAATTTCTCATCAATTCTACCAAATAAAGGAAATCACAAGGCAGAAAATGTGATTAAATCCCCCAGCATTGCACGTTTGGAGAACTACCGTAAAGTGTTAGTTTTTGTAATCACTCAACAGATTAGGCAACACTGAATTTCATCCATTGTGACACGTGTGACACAGAGTTTCAAAACGCTGGTATCATCGGACTTGGGAATGAGCGAGAATTTACATTTAATATGCTAATAAAACCATATACCAGTAAAGGGCATTGAGTTCAACCAGAAGGAAAGAAAACCAAAAAAGTGTAGTTAGATAACAAGGACATAAAGAACAATTCTTATATCACTTCACATTAACCTCTCGAGGGCTGGACGGAGGAGCCTGATGTCGTCATTTGTCCCCCCTACCATTGCCCCACTTTTCAGATTACTACAGTTTGATAAATATACCCCAGTGCCTTAATTTTTTTTTTAATTTTTTTTTTAGAAGCATGTGAATAACGACAGGGAGACTGAATTGTGACTACTACCTGGAGTGTAACGCCCACCGTTATTAGGCAGCGCGTATTAATTATAGCAGTTATCTTTGGGACCCTGGAGGAAATAAAGATACGCAGACTGAATTTTCAGTAATCGGACGGAGAATAAACAGAGAAAGCCAATAATGAACTCCCAGGGCATGAGAACGTTGCAGTTAGAATTCCCAGTGGGGTGTATATATTGTTGACGGGAACAAGCACTTATTCCACCGAGGATACACTAGATTTCACAGAGAAATTCTAACGGCAAAGCTTAACTCTAGATAGAAGATTCTATCACACAGAGTCCAGCAGAATTTTTAATAAAACTTTTTTTTGTACTAACTATTTTAGAACGAAAGATTGGTCCGGTCTCAATTCAATCCATTCTGTACATGTACATTAAAGCAGTCTAGCTCTAATACAGGGATTTAATCGTCACATGACAGGCGATACACATTGGCATTCCTAAAATAGAAAGAATGGCGCAATTCATTCCTCAGTGTCTGAGAATGGAAAATACTTAAAAGGACACTCCAGGCACCGAGATCACTTTAGCTAATTGAAGTGGTCTGGGTGCTGGGCCCTTTTGCACTTAGTGCTGCAATGTAAAACATTGCATTTCCAGAGAACTGCAATGTTTACATTGCAGCTCGAAGTCTGCCTTCTGAGGGCTTCTGGAATCCAAACCGACCTTTGGTTGGTTATCTGACGCTGGACATCCTCACGAACCTCCAGCGTCAGATCTTCCCCATTGAATAATGATTTCCTATGGGGAGGTCTGAGGCGCACGCGCCGTCTTTGCATGCGCGTTAGGTCTCCCCCGCTGGCTGACGTTGGCAAGGGAGGAGCGTGGGCAGCGCCTGACCCAGCGCTGAGGGACATCAATGCTGGATTCATGTAAATAGCTGAACCCCTTAGTTTTAACCCCTTCAGCGATATGGGATGGGGGTGGTGAGAGAGGGGCACTGCAGGATTGTGCATGCCAGGAAAACTGGTTTATTTTCCTGGCACTGGAGAGTCCCTTTAAAGAGGGAAAAAATATTTTTAAAATGTTTTCTTAAGTGTAAGTAAGATAATCATTACTGTGCCCTTTTCTTCTCCATTCAATGTTAGAAATATTTTTCCCCACTTCTAAATAGAACATTTTTAAAAGAACACTCCAAGCACTATAACTACTTCAGTGCACTGTAGTGGTTGTGGTGTCAAGAGTACCCTGGCGCCAATGTAACCAGTCAAACCGCTTATGAACACTTTGACTTCTTACCTGGAGCGACTGCTCCCTGTCTTCTCTGTAGCCTGGTGCAGGGTTAAGCTCTTTGGCTGAGAGCAATAAGTTGATGGGCTCAGCCTATGAACTAGCTCAGCAGAGCTAACGGAAGCTAATAGCTTGTGTCCAGGAAGCGGAGAGGAGATGAAGAGCGGTACCCGGTAGCAGATGAGAAGAAAGAAGAAAAACATTTGTAAAATGTTTAAATACTTACAAGAGACTGTGCCAGGGCATACCAGCCACTATAACCACTACAGTGTGTTGTAGTGGTTATGGTGCTTGGAGTGTGCCTTTAATTCTAATGATTAATATAAATGTTTAATGATATTTTTTATTATTATTCACTAGTTTTAATGATATTTTTAATTTATTATTATTCACTAGATTAGGCTTTGTAGCAAACAACATTTCTCACCTGCACTAAACCTGCTCTACTAAATATTGACAAGAGCGATATATGATCTCTCCAGACAAGCGTAAAGGTAAATACATCTATGCAAACAGTAACTATACAAAGGGAGATAATTGCACGTCAATATAGACTAATCCCATAATAATCTGCAACCCATTCACACACAGATTTCTTCCACTCATTAAGATATTCATATCACCCAATGCAAGAAAGGATTCACTAATGTTTACAGAGCCTACGGTCCTAACCAGCTACAAAAATGACCATCTGCTTTGGACTTTTCAATACAAGGACGAATGAAATGTTAAAGGGGAACTATTATGTAAATCAATGTACATTGACATGTTGGAGTCTGTATTCATTTAGGTTACAGTGCAGCAGTGTAACGTGATACTGTAATTCATAGACCTTTAGATTAAAAAGTATTGAGACTTTTGGTGCTGGTTAATTGACCTCCAACGAATGTGAGCTGAGGTTTTTCAGGAGTATTCTACAGGCACCATTAAATGCACATCTCAATGACGTGGTCTGGGTTCAGTGGCCTCGTGGTTTTAAAGGACCACTATAGTGCCAGGAAAACAAACTTGTTTTCCTGGCACTATAGGGTCTCTAGGTCCCCCCCACCCTTAGGGTCCACCTCCCGCCGGGCTCTAGGGTGAGGAAGGGGTTAATCACATACCTTTTCTCCACCGCCTCCCGACTCGACTCTCCACCTCCCTTCCCCGTCATCGGCTGAATGCGCGTCAATGAGACAGCCACTAGAGGCTGGATTAACCCATAGGTAAACATAGCAGTTTTTTTGAAACTGCTATGTTTACAGCAGGCAGGGTTAATCCTAGATGGACCTGGCACCCAGACCACTTCATTGAGCTGAAGTGGTCTGGGTGCCTATAGTGGTCCTTTAACTCTGCAGTGTAAAATACAGTGGTGTCACTAGGAGGGTGTAGAATGCTGCATATTCTATGTTTCTGTTGATTATTTATGGATGTATGGATTGACATAAGTAACAGATGTTATCAATAAGTCACAGGGTTTTCTTGTATGAGAAGTCAGGAATGTGGGTTGGCGGTCTTGTCCTTATATGGCTAGAGTTATAGTCTGACGTCATTATGGGAACATCTATATAGTAACTTAAAGGGACACAAGGTCATATAGTTACATAGTTACATAGCTGAAAAGAGACTTGCGTCCATCAAGTTCAGCCTTCCTTACAAATGTTGCTGCTTTTGATCCAAAAGAAGGCAAAAAACCTGGTCTGAAGCGCTTCCAATTTTGCCACAAACTAGGAAAAAATTCCTTCTTGACCCCAAAATAGCAGTCAGATGTCTCCTTGGATCAAGCAGCTATTACCCCACTAATTAGAAATTATATCCCTGTATGTTATTTTTTTGTAAGTATTTATCCAATTTCAGTTTAAACATCTGTATGGACTCTGACACAACCACCTCTTCAGGCAGAGAATTCCATATCCTTATTGTTCTTACTGTAAAAAAACCTTTTCTTTGCCTTAGATGAAATCTCCTTTCTTCCATACTAAATGTGTGACCTCGTGTCCTATGTATAGCCCTGTTTATGAATAGATTTCCAGATAAAGGTTTGTACTGGCCCCGAATATATTTGTATAAAGTTATCATATCCCCTCTCAGGTGCCGTTTTTCCAAACTAAACAGATTTAATTTTTTTTAACCTTTCTTCATAACTAAAATGCTCCATTCCTTTTATCAATTTTGTAGCTTGTCTCTGGACCCTCTCCAGTGCCATCATATCCTTCTTTAGAACAGGCGCCCAAAATTGCACAGCATATTCAAGGTGTGGTCTTACCAGCGATTTATAAAGGGGCAAAATTATATTTTCATCCTGAGAATTTATGCCCCTATTTATACATGACAAAATCTTACTGGCCTTAGCAACTGCAGATTGACATTGCATATTGCTGCCTAATTTGTTGTCTATAACAATTCCCAAATCCTTCTCGTGTGTGGTTATCCCTAATTCACTACCATTTAGTGTGTAAATTGCTTGTGCATTCTTAACCCCAAAGTGCATAACTTTGCATTTCTCTATGTTAAATTTCATCTGCCATTTTAGTGCCCAGTCCCCCAATCTATCCAAATCTCTCTGCAGCAAAGCAGTATCCTGCTCACATTTTATTACTTTACAAAGTTTTGTGTCATCTGCAAACACTGATACATGGCTTTTAATGCCTATTTCAAGATCATTTATAAATATGTTAAATAGAAGTGGTCCCAAAACAGAACCCTGAGGGACACCACTTACCACTTTTGTCCAGCCTGAAAATTTACCATTAATTACAACTTGTTGTACTCTATCCTTAAGCCAATGTTCTACCCAAGAACAAGAATATTCATCTAGACCAATTTCTTTTAGTTTGAAGACTAACCTATTGTGAGGAACAGTATCAAATGCCTTGGCAAAATCCAAGTAGATCACATCCACTACAACACCCTGATCTATACTTCTACTTACTTCTTCATAGAATGCAATTAGGTTAGTTTGACATGACCGATGTTTCATAAAACCATGCTGATTATTGCTAATAACAAAGTTCTTCCCAATGAATTCCTGAATATTATCCCTTAATTGCCCTTCAAATATTTTCCCAGTTACAAAAGTTAAGCTCACAGGTCTGTAATTTCCAGGCAAGGATTTTGAACCCTTTTTAAATATAGGAACAACATCTGCCTTCCTCCAATCCTCCGGTACAACACCTGAAACAAAAGAATCTTGAAAAATACAGAGGTTCACTTATTTCCCCACTTAGCTCCTTAAGTACTTGTGGGTGAATACCGTCAGGCCCCGGAGCTTTATTTACACTAATTTTCTTTAATAGCTATAGCACCTTGTCTCGAGTTATCCAATCACAAGTTATTTGCAAGTTTTTTGCAGCAATCATTTGCATATCTCTTGCCATAGGATCCTCATTAATATATACTGAAGAAAAATAGTTATTTAAAATTTCTGCTTTTTCCTGGTCTTCATTAGCTAATAAACCCAACTCTGTTTCAAGCGTACCTACAATTTCATTTTTTGTTTTTTTAGAATTGATGTACTTGAAAAAAAATTTGTGGTTGGTTTTGCATTCTTTAGCCATCAATTTCTCATTTTCTAGTTTAGCCACTTTAATTGCCTTTTTGCAAGCATTATTGGCTTCCTTATGTCTTAAATAGGATGCCTTTGATTTGTCTGATTGAAATGCTTTAAATGCCCTTTTCTTATTTTTAATCTCTTGTTTTACTTCTCTACTAAGCCACATTGGTTTCAATATGTTTCTTTTATATTTATTACCCAATGGTACATACTGAGAAATGTACCTTTCTAATATTTGTTTGGTCTATCTCTGTCTCTCTCTTGATGTAGTTATGTAACGATGTAACTCTCCCTTCAGAAGTCCAGCAATTACCATCTGCTGTTGAAATCCATTATCCTGTAACATCCTTTGTTGTTTTATTATGTATCAGTAACTAAGAATAAACCATAAGAATCCGTAAATCAGATTGCATATTAGTACTTTTCATTAATATAGATGTATATTAATGTAGTGAGCCTTTGACCCAAGACTATACATACAAAAGATGTAAATATCAATCAACTGGAGAAATCACAGAAAAATTAAGAAGAAACAGGAATTTATTACAGAGGGGGCCATGCCCCCCCCCCTCCCCTACATCATGCAGTGCCCCCCTTATTTTCCCCCCAATTGAAATCAGGAGCACTGAGTCTCCCTTCACAAGCAGCAGCCGCACTGGGTGGGTTCATTCTGTGTGTGTGGAGGGGGGGCTCAGTCTGTGTGTTTGTCAGTCTGTGGGTTTGTATGGGTGTGTGTATGGGTCAGTCTGTGGGTTTGTGTATGTGTGTGTGTATGGGTCAGTCTGTGTGTTTGTGTATGTGTATGGGTCAGTCTGTGTGTTTGTGTATGTGTGTGTATGGGTCAGTCTGTGTGTTTGAGTGTGTATGGGTCAATCTGTGTGTTTGAGTGTGTATGGGTCAGTCTGTGGGTTTGTTTGTGTATGGGTCAGTCTGTGGGTTTGTGTGTGTATGGGTCAGTCTGTGTAAGTACTTGAGCTCCAAGAGAGATAACTCTCATCTCGTGACCTCCCCTGTACCAGATGGATAGGCAGCCTTCTCAGCTACCACGGATCTGATTGTGCCACCCCCTGCCTGCAATTATTAAAGTAAAAATTGTAAAGCTCTTCACTGTCCCACTCTCTACACCCTCACAGATAGTGAATCCCCCATATATAGTACACTCCCACCAACACAGAGTACACCTTTGCATACACACACAGTGCACCCCTCACACACATCATCTCTTCACCCACATACCTTTACCACCACATCATATATATATATATATATATCTATATTTACAGCTCCTTGATAAGCACACAATGCAACCCCAATACACGTACACTCACAATGAAACCCCTAGATGCACACGCACGCTTTACAGGCCCTTTCAGCACACACACACACAAATTGCGATTTTTATTTTTATTTAAATCCACCCAGCCTCCCTATCTCTGGGAGAGCTGAGTGGATCTTTCCCTGGCGTCCAATGTGTCTCCTCTCAATCTTCCTGCAGTTTCTCTCTGCTCCCCTTCGCGCTGTCTGTAGTGATGCCGGGGCCGGAGTGACGTCATGTCACTGAACAGCGCGCAAGGAGCAGAGAGGAACTGCAGGAAGGTTACCTCCTCCTACAAAATAAGAACTTTTAAACTAAAACAGCTATGTACATTAAAACTAATTGTAATTGGACTGGCTATCTAGAATTAAATTCAATAAAGAAGGTTTTCAATTCTCTGTGATTCCTTCTGGAATAACTAAACCCCGCTATAGTTTGTATATCAGGATCATATAAAGTGTCACACACTTCATCCATTATTCAAGAAGCCCGTTTTGTTTCTATACGTTTGGAGGATACATTGAAACAAGAATTGTGGTTTCCAAGCTGTGTAAGAATGTATAGTACCTGCGTGATAAAACATCCACAAGATATTTCAGAACCTCCTTACCTCAACAAAATAGAAATGTATTAAATGCCAAAAGTGCATAAACAGTCAGTGGTTGCTTCACAACTGCTACTTTCTTCCAGTAATTGAAATAATTTTGGGTGGGGAGGAACTAACTAATTGAAATTGTATGGCTTCTGAAATATCTGTCAAGTAAGTCATTACTTATTGTACCTGCACATAATAGACAATGCAAAATTTTGGGGGTACACCTGGGTAGTCATAAGTTAGAAACCACCTAAAGTCATGTAAGACACTTGAAACTGGATTGATCTCATCATGATTGTGTAAAAGACCAGTCAGTGTAATGTTCCGCATCCCTCTGCTATCTCAAATGCATTAAAGAGGCACTTTACCTATTATAGCCACTACAGCTAATTGTACTGGTTATTGGGTAAAGGTACCAGTAAGAGGCTGCTCCACAGGTTTTTTCTGTGTAACACAGCCAAGACTCCTAGCACTATAACAACCACAACCATTTCCGTCTTATTTCATTCCTGACTTATGACTGTAAAACTGTATTACAGTTTGATAAAGACTCACTGTGCTAATGTTTCCACTGAAGGAGGTTTTTAAGCTAATATCACCTACATCTTTTTGCGTCTTTGAACTGGACTGTCCAATAAAGTAAATCCATCAATTAACCCCTTAAGGACACAACTTCTGGAATAAAAGGGAATCATGACAGAATATTCCCGTCATGTGTCCTTAAGGGGTTAAAACATTAGGTTTATTTATTTGACATTGAGATAACATTGTAAGCTCTACCACAGAGCTCCAGTGCTATGCATACCAGCGTGCAACACCCCACTGCTTACATAATGTATACATTGTTACCCAATCGTATTTTCATGCAATGGTGTATAAATATGGTGCAATCCAACGGAATGTTACTGGCACAGTGAATTTCCAAACTACAAGTATAAATTAAAAAGGATGGTTTGAGATTTAGATGACTGCTCTGATTAGGCCATTTGCTTACAAAAGTAAGTCTACATTTACCACAAACGGCATGAAAGAAAGATCATTCCTCCCCCACACCCCCTTATTTAGATTTTTGTAAGCATAACAAACATACACATTTTAATCAATCACTATCTGAAAGTGAACTTGTCATGCATTTAATTTGCAGATGAACGGTTTACTTTAATATCACTAAGCAAGTCATGCGTTGATCACTTGACTTCAAATCAGTTTTAGGTCAAAAGTTGGCAAAAAAAAAAGTTATCACGACAATATGGCCGTTGGGTTAACATGCTAGAACTAGGGGTAAGGTTTTAAAGCGGATCTGACACTTTTCAGTATTTCAAAAAGATATACTTTTTAAGAAATCCGGATGCTGACTGCATTGACATGTTACTGAAATTCCAACACAATGCAAAGATACCGTAAGACAAAGTAGGGATGGACTACTTTGCCTTATGGCAAGTTGGAAGTTGACCAAAGGGAGATCTCCACAGTCAGCTATTGCCAAATGCCAGCAGCCGTCACAAGTGACAGCTGTGGGATTCATTCATGGTGTCACTCATCGTGAGACGCGATGTTCCTGCAGGATTTTCATAAACCTCAGTGTTGTACTCTTGGGCATGGGGCTCCTGGCAAATGAAGCACTAGGAGCTGAAGAAGACCATGAGGAAGAAGATAGACGAAGGTGAGGACAAGTGATGGTTTCAGGCAAGTAAAAGCTCATCACCACAGTCACCTGATCCTAACCAGAGACCCCAAAAGTTACAGATCTGTTATAACAGAGCAAAAGAGTAAAATCTGCAATATTCACACCTCCAACAACTCACACTCATAGAAGAACTAAAACTTTATTTATTTGGCAATAAAATCTGTCTGGACGATAGGATTGTCGCAAGAGGAAGAGCACAGCCATTACCAAAAGTAATGGTAGCATACATTTAAAGTCCAACGCTACTACTCCGGCCTAAAAGTTCCTCGCCAATGGCGCACTCATTACAGTTGAATTATCCCTGCCAATAGGGAGTGGGCTCACAGTATTTAAAGAGGTATCCCAAAATACACAATCACCTATATCCCTTACATACGATATAGTGAGAATAGCAGCGTCGTCCCAGGGTCACTACACGAATACTTATAACAGACAGCTGGAAATAAACTTCGTTGTATCTATAGTTCCATTCATAAAAGCGTTGATTGGAACCACAGAGAAAGCTCGGGCAGGAGTACGCATGGTCTTTTCTGATAAGTGGAACCTCTCAGAGGTTTATGGATACGCTTTAGCAGGCGAGGATTGGCTAACAGAGCTCACTGCAGAAGCAGCAAATCTCATATGTGCTGCAAAAACAATAATGTCATTGGTATGTCTTTCTTTTGCACTTTTTAACGATTTATTAAAATAATGCATTATTAAGATGGGAATCAGCTCCAGCCTTTAAAAGACAAGCTAACACAAATATCACGTTACAGATACATATACACACAGGCACATTGCCAGCTCAATATATGAAGATATTTACTGCCTGAAGAACAGTACAGTACTTTATTCCAGTACTTTATATCCTTTGGCTGCATAGCTGCAACAACAGATCTGAAACAAACAAGATAATTATATAGTGAAACCGTTCTGGAAACTACAGGGTCATGGTCTGTTTTGAACATTTAGGAGAGTGTGTTCATGAGCAGTAAATTTTGTTGTGATCGAAGTTAATCAATGGGATGTAAAGGCGGCCAAGGGGAAAACAAAATAAAATTCAGCTTGTTTATCAATTTCCATTGATGATGTTCACAAATTTCACTTAAAACAACATTAATCATTTCAGGAAAACAGCCCTGAACAAAGGGGAGAAGCAGAATAGAACGAAAGAAAATAAAAGTTCACGAGATACAAAATCATGGCAAAAAAAATATATAAAGAAATCCGGACAGCTTTAAACCTACAAAGTTAACCAAAGATTGTAAATTTAAGGCCAATCAAATCAAAATAGAAAGGGTTCTCCAATACAGCTATTATTCCAAATCCTCTTATTTTAGCCTAAAATCTGCTATTCACTTTTCAGTTGTTCTCAAAGCTTTAAATTTGTTAATAAATATCAGTCCACCCCGGGAGAGTGTAAAGATTCTTCTGCTTAACATATCCACGTGTCCCAGGACACGCTCAATCTTCCCCAATTGGCAGCTGTTGGGCATAATACACTTTGCCTATATTTATCCAAGGCTCAAGCTACAGATGACCGGATGCTCAGTGTGTTTAAAATTGGCTAACTTGGAGCATGTCAGCTATTTGAAATAATATCCAATGCTTAGTGAATATACCCCTAGACATGAGTTATAGAACATTGTGTAACAGGTGTTATATCCTGTGTGTTTCTGCTGTTGGCCTTATCTCCTGTGTTTCTCCCTTTGATCATAACTGCTTAGTAATGTGTAATTTAGAACTGCGTAGTAAATATCTTTAATTCTAAGTGCGTATTAATTCTAAATGTTTAGTTATAGTGTGCAAGGCCTGAACATGCAGAAACACCGGCAAGCTTGCTATAGGTTAAGATGTTAAGATAAGATAGAGGATTTTGTTAGGATTGGATAAGGCTTGTAAGACCACCCCTGTTTCCTCTTGAATATAACCGGTTACACAGCCCATTAAACGTCAGAAGTCACCTCGAACCTTACATTGTCTTGTCTCGTTCATTGGGGCTCATCACCAGCTGGTTTGGTGACAACGAGAAATACAGAGAGTTCCAAATTGATAAGAAAGACCACGGCAAGGGGGGAATTCCTGATGGAAAAAAATTCCTCACTATCAGCAGCTACTCATTTTCTAACTATTTAGTTCTTTATTTTCAATAGTACAAAAGGACAATTACAAACATTTCAATGTAAAATGTATAAATCTTGGGCAGGAATTATTCGACAATTCTTAAAAGTGCTATGGTACAAGAAAGACTAGGAATAAAAAATAAATAATAATTACTTTAAAAAAATAAAATAAAAGGGGGGAAGTCTCTTACGAGAATTACTTTATTCTCCTTTTTAGATCCAACTACTTCACTTATGATGATATAGTGAAATAGTTCTCTACCTTTTTAACCATCACAGGATCAACACTAGTCAGGACTGTCATGACAGAAAGATTTGCCTACTCGAGGTCAAAATCCTTGTAATTATTTTCTTTTGTCTCGGCATAGACAACTGGGAATCTGTTTGAAAGGTTTACCCAAAACCTTTAATAAAGTATCTTGGTGGCAAACCATAAAAAAGTGATATCCCCCGAGTTATAACCTTACCTCCGAGTCACTGTTACTCTGTAAGCTTTCTCCTGCTGTGCCCATCACAAACAGGGTACGAAGGGGGGGGGGGGGGCACTAGCCACTAGCTTTGGCCACTAGCTTTAGAGAGAATTGTGTTGATGCCGTACTAAACGATAAGATGTAGGTGTATTCTAATTAATGTTATTGTATTCCTGTCCTCACCGTATTCGTTTAATAATTTTAAGATATAATTAACAAACGGAGTGGAATTTGCTAGTTTGAGCTCACCAACGCTATTTATTCATAGACGCCCCATTCCCTCAGGCCAAATGTAACCTCTCCTGACGAGGGCTATTTTATTTCTCTATAGTACCAATTTTGCCATGATAACCGGAACGTACGGCTCGTAGCACTGTGGAAGGGGTCGGGCCTAATGTTTGCAAAGCCCGCAACGTGCGATTTAAGTACACAGGGTAATTAGAATTCAGTAAAATACTCATGATTAACTCCGCAAACTGTCCAAACACTAAACATTGCTCTGCAAACGGGATTCAAAATGAGGAGGTGGATTGAAGCTGCTGCCTGTCTCACGTTGCAATTGTCACGTATTAATCCGCTTATAAAAATGTGGTTAATTTCATTTACTGTCCACACAGGAAAAGTTGTGCCAAGCAGCAACAAAATCCACAGAAGGTTAATGCGGAGCAGCAATTATGCAAATGGGAACCTGGTAACTGACTTTGGGGTCAAAGGCCGGTTACAGCCTATCAGATCTAGAGGAGGGGTATTTAGGCTCAGTTCTCATCCTGCTCAGTGCCCTGTCGTGGTTTCCCTTGTGGTTGTCCGAGAGCGCGTTATTAATTCTGGTTATTTGACTTTGGCATTGTTTTTGACTTCCCTGTATTCTGTATCCCTGACTCCTGGCTTTTCCTTATCATTGTGTCTCTTTCTGTATCCCCTGACCTCAGCTATTCCTGACTATTCTTTGGTACGTTAGTCCGGCCATTCTAAGGGCCGGTATACGTTACCTATCTGTCTCCTGTGTTACACAATTCTACGTGCTGGATCATTCTGTAATCCTGACAGCAATGGAAAGACAAGGATTAGGGGACCTGCGAGAATACTACAAATTAAAACTATTTGCTGTGGCAAACTACATTGAGCAATGTAATATAATTCTGCATGTTACCACTTGCATTACAATATTGGCACCTTGTCAAAGTGTTACTATTTTGCCAATTAAAGAGCAGCTATAGGCCAGATAATGTGCATACTAGTAAGGCATGGAACCTTATCGCTCAATAAGGCAAAACAAGAACAAAGGCAAACAACGCAAACAATGCACGGGAGCAAAAACAATAATTTCAAAGTACATGTTAGAAGGGAAAGCGAGTGGTTCTCCAGATTTTTAAATGCAATGTTTATTTATTTAATGTGTTTGTGTAGTCTGAAAATAGAATTACATTCACCCATTCATTCCTTTCTTTATCTCGACTACCCTGGAATGAAGTGACGCCATCTGGACTCGCTGTCAATCATTGTTATAAATTCTGCTCTTTGAACCTATTAGTCTGCATAGAGGCAAGGAGAAAGAAAATGGGGATCTATTTCTCCTGGACATTTTCAAATGTGTGCCAGGAATAAACTGGATTGTGAGGTCATTTAAATTTTTTTATTTTTTTTTCAGGAAAACAGATAAATCACATAAAAAAATAAAATGAATTACATTTAAAACAAGTTAACGCATTTCAGATTGTCTGGAGTACCATTTTTTCCCCCAACAATTTATAAAAGTGCGAGTTTCAAAATTATGGGTTTTATGAGTACATCCGAACATAAGATATACCATACCGGTGATACTGGAAAAATTAGAAAATGGTGCAAAAGTTCATTTATTTCAGTACTGCAACGTAAAAGGGGAAACTAATATATGAGATAGACGCATTACATGCAAAGCAAGACAGATCAAGCCGTGATTTGTCATAAGTGCGATGATTATGGCTTACAGCTCATGAAAACCCAAAATCCACAATCTCAGTAAATTAGAATATTACATGCAATCAATAAAACAAGGAGTGTAAATAGAACAATATCGGACCTCTGAAAAGTATAAGCATGCATATGGACTCAGTACTTGGTTTGGGCCCCTTTTGCAGCAATTACTGTCTCAATGCGGCATGGCATGGAAGCTGCCTGTGGGACTGCTGAGGCGTTATGGAAGACCAGGATGCTTCAATAGTGGTCTTCAGCTCTTCTGCATTGTTCGGTCTCATGTCTCATCTTTCTCTTGGCAATGTCCCACAGATTCTCTATGGGGTTCAGGTCAGGCGAGTTTGCTGGCCAATCAAGCACAGTAATCCCACGGTCATTGAACCAGGCTTTGGTGCTTTTGGCAGTGTGGGCAGGTGCCAAGTCCAGCTGGAAAATGAAGTCAGCATCCCCATAAAGCTCGTCTGCGGAAGGAAGCATGAAGTGCTCCATAATCTCCTGGTAGACGGCTGCATTGACACTGGACTTAATGAAGCACAGTGGACCAACACCAGCAGATGACATGGCTCCCCAAATCAACACACACACTGGACTTCAAGCATCTTGCAGTGTGTGCCTCTCCATTCTTCCTTCAGACTCTGGGTTTCCAAATGAGATGCAAAAGTTGCTCTCATCAGAAAAGAGGACTTTGGACCACTGAGCAACAGACCAGGTCTGTTTTTCCTTAGCCCAGGTAAGACGCTTCTGACGTTGTTTGTTTTTCAGGAGCGGCTTGACAAGAGGAATATGACCTCTAAAGCCCATGTCCAGGATCCGTCTGTGTGTGATGGCTCTTGATGCACTGACTCCAGCCTCAGTCCACTCCTTGTGAAAGTCCCCAACACATTTGAATGGACTTTTCCTGACAATCCTCTCCAGGCTGCGGTCATCCCTGCTGCTTGTGCATCTTTTTCTTCCACACTTTTCCCTTCCATATAACTTTCTATTAATTCTTTGATACAGCACTTTGGGAACATCCAACTTCCTTCACAATTACCTTTTGAGGCTTTCCCTCCTTATGGAGGGTGTCAATGATGGTTTTCTGCACAACTGTCAGGTCAGCAGTCTTCCCCATGATTGTGATTCCTACTGAACCAGACTGAGAGACCATTTAAAGGCTCCGGAACCCTTTGCAGGTGTTATGGCGTTCTTAGCTGATTAGAGTGGGACACTGTGAGCCTAGAATATTGCACCTTTTCACAATATTCTAATTTACGGAGATTGTGGATTTGGGGTTTTCATGAGCTGTAAGCCATAATCATCGCACTTATGACAAATCACGGCTTGAACTATCTTGTTTTGCATGTAATGCGTCATATATTAGTTTCCCCTTTTACGTTGCATTACTGAAAGAAATGAACTTTTGCACGATATTCTAATTTTTCGAGTATCACCTGTATACAGTATTAAGTAAACAATAACAATGTTCGGAAAAAAAATACAAACGTCTATAGAGCATACTTCGAATTGGAGCAATTTTTTTAAAAAATGTCGATGTTTTAAATTTATCAACCCCCTACCCCTCCCACCGTCTCACACTCCCATTCTCATTCTCAAATTTTGTGGTTACAAGACAAAAAAAAAATATGCATTTGTAACTTTTTCTTTTTTTGCACAGACTGAAAGTGAATGTCGGGGAAAAAGAGAGAACTTGCAAAGGCTGCACAGACAGACAGCATTATCTGCAGCTCAAGCGTTTTTTGGTTTTTTTATACCCCCAAAAGAAAACTTGCAGAAAAAGAAATTGTATTCTTTGTTGGTATATTTACTAAAAAGTAATCAAAAATGAAATTGAGTGTTCCTCTAACACTAAGTTGTAGCTAACTTTACTCTGAAGTACACATTCCTGGAACTAGTTAAACTACAAATATTGACATAAACATGTTGAAACAATAAGATTATTACAACATTTCATTAAACAAACGCGTCTTTTGGTAATAATCCCTAGGTGTCACCTTGGCGGAATTGTAATTTTTAAAGTGACACTATATCTACATATCTTGCAGAACTGAAGGAGATATATAGCAAGTTTAATAAGAGTTACAATTAATTGGAAATTGGGACGATGTCTGTAAAAGTTACAAGACTAATTCTGCCTCTAGTAGCTGTCATTCAGACAGCCACTAAAGACACTTCCTGGTGGTTATGCGACTTTTGCTCTGCATGAGGACATCCAGTGTCAGTTAAATCCCTATAGTAAAGCATTGAAGCAATGCTTTCCTATAGAGAGGGCCTAATGCTTGCAGCACTCATCGCGCATGCGCATTAGCTCCCCTATCATGTGACATCACAGGAGGCGGTGCGCAGACACAGCTCAGATTGAGATCAGCGCTGGAATCGGATAAGTACTCAAAGGGGTTTTTAAACCTTGCAATGCAGGGGGAGGTGGGGTAGAGGGATCTATTGCATTGTGTAAGGAAAACAATTTTGTATTCCTTGCACTATAGAATCTCTTTAAAGGGCAACAGTCACCTCAACATTTTTTTCAATATAATAAACATTTCCTTAATAGAATAATAGATTTTCCTGTAAGAAGTATATGTAAACAAATGAGAAATTCATCCGTACTTTTAGTATAGGACAGGATCCTTCTGTCTGTATGAGGTAGGAACCAAATCACACAGGCCCAAAACACGACAACGGAGAGACTAGCCGTGTCCTTTAAGTGACCGGGCTAACGCTGAACAGAGTCAGAGTAATAGCCAAGGTCCAGGATAGGAGAAAACAGGATAAACAGTAAACAGGTCAAGGTCTAAGGAGTCAAGAAGCCAAGAAAGTTGGAAACCAGAGAAACTGAATGTAGAAGAACGAGCTACTGGACCAACTAGAACCACAACAGGGCAACTATAAGTAGTACAGGTAAGTGTAAATAGGCAGGGCTTGTTTCCTATTTTAAAATGCCATCTTAGAGTTCCAGATGACAGAACCTTATCAAACCGATCCATGAGGTCATCGGAGCGTCAAATACGGTCTGACCAAGGTACCTGAATATGGCTGAAGGATCCTGTCCTATACTAAAAGGTAGGTGAGTGCTCTTTTTTTCTCTCATATACTTAATTAAAAAAAAAAAACTATTTCCTTTCAATACTTGACAAAATGGTTATTAAATGTTTTTTGAGGTGACTCGTCCTTTAAATCACAGGAACATACATAGAATGCCTTTTTAATGCGCAAATCGTATCACTGTGTGGTGGCTGTTAAAAGCGATTTAATGAGAAGGGACAGCAAGGATCCAGAAGTGGCTTAATGGCCTGGAGAAATGCCCAAACTTTCAGATAAACAGGAAGCTTGAGGCCAGGCAGGAGATATTTCACATGCTTAACTCTACCCCTGATTTCCCTTGTTTTTGTGGTCCAAGGTGTGTGGCTCATGCTGCTAGGTGGGTACTATCTACACCAGGATAAAGTACCACAGGCAGGCTCTGCAATAGCACAGTTACCCTAGAGTACCCCAGCCAGGCTCTGCAATAGCACAGTTACCATAGAGTACCCCAGCCAGGCTCTGCAATAGCGCAGTTACAATGGAGTACCCCAGCCAGGCTCTGCAATAGCGCAGTTACCATAGAGTACCCCAGCCAGGCTCTGCAATAGCGCAGTTACAATATAGTACCCCAGCCAGGCTCTGCAATAGCACAGTTACAATATAGTACCCCAGCCAGGCTCTGCAATAGCGCAGTTATCATAGAGTACCCCAGCCAGGCTCTGCAATAGCACAGTTACCATAGAGTACCCCAGCCAGGCTCTGCAATAGCACAGTTACCATAGAGTACCCCAGCCAGGCTCTGCAATAGCGCAGTTACCATAGAGTACCCCAGCCAGGCTCTGCAATAGCACAGTTACCACAGAGTACCCCAGCCAGGCTCTGCAATAGCGCAGTTACCATAGAGTACCCCAGCCAGGCTCTGCAATAGCACAGTTACCACAGAGTACCCCAGCCAGGCTCTGCAATAGCGCAGTTACCATAGAGTACCCCAGCCAGGCTCTGCAATAGCACAGTTACCACAGAGTACCCCAGCCAGGCTCTGCAATAGCGCAGTTACCATAGAGTACCCCAGCCAGGCTCTGCAATAGCACAGTTACCATAGAGTACCCAAGCCAGACTCTGCAGTAGCGCAGTTACCATGGAGTACCCCAGCCAGGCTCTGCAATAGCACAGTTACCATAGAGAACCCCAGCCAGGCTCTGCAATAGCACAGTTACCATAGAGAAGCCCAACCAGGCTCTGCAATAGCACAGTTACCATAGAGTACCCCAGCCAGGCTCTGCAATAGCACAGTTACCATAGAGAACCCCAGCCAGGCTCTGCAATAGCACAGTTACCATAGAGAACCCCAGCCAGGCTCTGCAATAGCACAGTTACCATAGAGTACCCCAGCCAGGCTCTGCAATAGCGCAGTTACCATGGAGTACCCCAGCCAGGCTCTTCAAGAGCACAGTTACCATAGAGTACCGCAGCCAGGCTCTGCAATAGCGCAGTTACCATAGAGTACCCCAACCAGGCTCTGCAATAGCGCAGTTACCATAGAGTACCCCAGCCAGGCTCTGCAATAGCACAGTTACCATAGAGTACCCCAGCCAGGCTCTGCAATAACACAGTTACCATAGAGTACCTCCAGGCAGGCATAAATATTATGAAATGCTAGCTAGACCCACAACATTAGAGCTGGCGAAGGTTTAATTAGAAGCCACAAACTACAAGCATATACTGTGTTAACCCCTTAATATGCCACATTAACACTTTATATGAAATAAATTAAACACACATTCGTAACCCATTCATGTAACTAATATTTATGTAAAATCTCCAAATAAAGTTATCTTTAAACCATTCATATAATGACAGAATGGAAAAAAAAACTCATATTAATCCCTCCCAGATTTATTCACGAAACTCTTTTATCTAATTAAATCAAAGTGGCAAAATTGAAGCTAAATAGTGGATTCAAAAATAAATAAATCTCCAACTCAGCGATAGCTATCTTAGCCTCAATTTTGCGATTCTAAATAAATTTAGTTTTGGAAGAAGGTTTTGAAAAGCCATTTACCTTTTGCTGCAAACGGTAACTAGCTGGGTGCTTCCCAGCCCCCAAAATAAATAGAAGTATATAAGTAAACACAGGAGAACTCTCTGGAAATTTTCAGTATTGTATTAAATTACGTCAACGTTTTGACCCTCCTGGGTCTTTATGAAGATAGTATATATATTTAGATATCTTGAAAAAAAATAAATGTAGACTTTTATGCAAAAACATTGTCCTCTCGTCAGTGACAGACAGTTCCACTTTTAGATTAGAAATATTATTTATCAGTAGTATGGTTTCTGTTTGCTACCATTAATATTTTAAAGCGCTACGGAATCTGTTGGCGCCATATAAATGGCGATAATAAAAATAATGATGGATATGGAGCAGGTACAGGAGTCAGGTTATTAGTAAGGCGAAAACGTCACTTGTATGCGAGTATCAGTTCCTGTATCTTGACCACAGGTAATGCGATTGACGTACTTATAGGGTTGCGGAGTGCAGCAGTGGTAAGTATAAAACACACTTACTTCTGTGTAAATAATAAAAACAAAGTGTTTAACCTAGAGAGTATCACCTAACTGTGCTTTGGGCGCACTCTCAAACTCCACTCCTGGGCATCTGCATTTGCTGCACTCACAAGGTACCATGGGGGATAAAATACATTTGCATCAAATGCCCTGGTAGTGACTGGACAGACTGGATTATAATATAAAAAATAAAATAAAAAAACACAAGAAATACTGAATCCATTGAAAGTGACCAACTGTTAGGCAAATCCCTGTATGTTCTGACAAGTGTGACATGTTACTGAGCATTAAGGGGTTAATAGCAATATGATAAAAAGTCTCACACATGTTTAGACAATGTATGAGACTACAGCATCTATGGACTAGCACTGGCTCCCACTGAGGTTGGCTGAGGGTATTGTGAGCTCTAGTGTACATCAGGTGCAGAGTAATAATAACCCTGTTTACCCCAGATCAGGGCACCACGGGTATTTAATGAAGGGACTGTCTCTGAGATCAGGGGGTGAATGGTTACAATGTATCCATCTCGGGAGCTGAGAGATAACTGTTGCAGCAGGAGCCCCCCAGTTAACCCTTCCCAGCCCGGGGGATGGCTGTTACCTTGAGAGTCAGTTATCTTCCTGTGCTTTAACTCGCTGTCTCTGTTATCCGCCATGGCTGAGGGTGCTGGGTCCAGGAATGCGGCTTCAGAGGAATCTAAGTTTATAATATTATCAGCTGTGCTCATATTACAGGAGACGAGCCTGGGCGCTCCCAGATTACAGAGCTCCACCCCAGCTCCTCCCACAGAGCTCCCTCCCCAGGTCTTCCCAGGTCCTAACAGAGACAGAGCTCCCTCCCAGGTCCTAACAGAGACAGAGACAGAGCTCCCTCCCAGGTCCTAACAGAGACAGAGACAGAGCTCCCTCCCAGGTCCTAACAGAGACAGAGCTCCCTCCCAGGTCCTAACAGAGACAGACAGATCTCCCTCCCAGGTCCTAACAGAGACAGACAGATCTCCCTCCCAGGTCCTAACAGAGACAGAGCTCCCTCCCAGGTCCTAACAGAGACAGAGACAGAGCTCCCTCCCAGGTCCTAACAGAGACAGAGCTCCCTCCCCCCATTCCTCCCAGAATCAGAGCTCTACCCAGCCCCCTCTTATTTTATACACTGCCCACCCATATATAGTCTTGCTTCAATGTTCCTCCCAGTATTTTGCAATGTTGTGCTACCCACCCCCTTCCAGTAACGAACCCAATTCAAGTAACAGACCCCTTCCTAATAACAGACCCCCTCCCAATAACAGACCCCCTTCCAGTTCCCCTCTACTTTATATCAAGGTCTGTTTTAATGTATTATTCCAGAATGGATGTATTGCACTATTATATAGTGTATATTGCACTGTGAAGTGTAGAATAAAATAGCACTTTTTTGTATGTTCCCCCTCTAATAATATTGTAAAGTGCTACGGAATCTGTTGGCGCTATATAAATGGCAATAATAATAATAATATTAATAATGATAATAATAATGTTATAGAACATTATAATATAGGATTGCATATTATATCACAGTTGAGTTTTGTATTATAATATTCTGTATGGTATAATATAGTATTGTAATGTGTCATATTGTATTATAATGTTTATGTATGGTGTAATATAGTATTGTAATTTGTTACATTGTAGTATAATGTTGTATTATATTGTATTATAATGTTTATGTATAGTATAATATTGTTTTCTAATTGGTGTTAAATGCTTGCACTCTATTCATTCACATGGTCAGTAAATATTGGTGATTCCTACAATAACAATTTACTTCTGTTACCATTGAACATTTTTTCTGGTTACAAATGTATCACCACCATGCATAGCACTGCATCCCCCTTATAACAATCCCTGCACAAGGCTGTAGGAATTGAGATATTCCTTCTATGCCAAAGCCCCTACATCCAGATTACCCCAAATTATTACTGTGCATTGCATCCTATCTTCCTTAGAACACACTCTGCATCCAGATTACCCTAATCGATTACTGTGCATTACACTGCATCCTCCTTATACCCTTTATAACCAGGGAATTCCGCTCTATAAACAAGCTATCAATATATTCCAAATTATGGCTGAATATGCACAATGTAATACTTTTATGTACCCGTATTTCTGATCTCTTTGTATACTGGTCAGGCAAAAAATTTGACACCAAACAGTCAGAATTAGTTTATCCAGCACGAAGAATAGTATCACACCTAGGACTAAGGATAACGTCTAACCGGACCTTAGAATGGCTGGACTTAACGTACCGCAGAATAGTCAGAATTAGTGATGTCCTGAACGGTTCGCCGAATGGTTCGCCACGAACGGTTCGCCGCGGACTCATCATTGAGTAAACTTTGACCCTGTACCTCACAGTCAGCAGACACATTCCAGCCAATCAGCAGCAGACCCTCCCTCCCAGATCCTCCCACCTCCTGGACAGCTCACTAAGAATGCAGCTTCAAAATGGACATCACTAGTCAGAATACTTGCCGAGGTCAGGGACACAGAATGTGACACAACGCTGAGGAGAGCCAGAAGTCAAGGATACCAGAAACCAGGGAAGTCAAAACGAAGTCAAATACCAGAAAACTGCAATCAGGAACACACTCTCAGATAACCAGCTAGTGGAGACCACGAAAGGGCACTGATAAAAAGGTAATTTGGGTTTAAATAACCCTCTTTAGGCTATAATTGGCTGTCTCCGACCTCTGACCCCAAAACGTGCATGCGCGTCTATGACGTGACGCCGCACGCACGTTGGCGCCATCATTGATGTGGGCAAAGGTAAGTTTCTTATTAGAGTCTGATCCGCAGCGGCCAGCATTCCTAAGAATGTCACACCTGCTGGGGACCGGAATGGAGAGAGACCGGTTAGCTGCCATACATAAAGCCTAGCTCCGCCGCCGTGGCTGAGATTATCGGTTTTGATGATCCCAGCCAATCATTCCAATGCTGCACCATTCAGAATTTCCTCCTAGAGATGCATTCAATCAGCGCAAAAAATAGAGAGAGAAAAAGGAGAAGGATAGGACAGACTTATCCAAATAGTCCTAATAGAGTGGATTTCCCTCACAAAGGAGGGGAACTAAATGGGAGAAGTGTAATACCAAATATCTAATTCCCAAAGGTAAAACTTAGCTTTTAATAAAAACTAAATAAAAACACAAATCACGGTTGGTACAATTGCCCACCTAGATAGCTAAGTGTATATAGCCAAAAGCCGGCAACTACAGGAGCAGCGTTACAATAATATATCGCTGGTACTATAAATTAGGATGCCAGAGCGTTACCAAAAAGAATAAATTGTCAAATATGTTAACAGACCATTACTGATACTCTGTTGTACAGGTATATTAGCAACAGAGTGTCAAATATGAGACTATTCAACGTCGCAGGATACGATCTGATAAGTAGAAAAAATACTGTAAGTATACTTAGACACAAATAATAATCGATTGCCAATAAATTATAGTCACTTACACTGGTAAGGACTACAGAATCACCAGTATTAAATCAGGTACTGTATCTTGGAACTGAGATCTAAAGAGTTGAGGGGGAGGTTGCCGACCATACCAATGGAGGGGAAAGAGTGATAGACAATTATGCAGGGGAGACTATTTGACTGTCACTAGAGCCCTAGCGTCTCGTGCCTTCGAGGGCACCCCTTAACAAAAAGCCTGATTGCCTCCTCACACTTGCTGACACCACCTCCCGCCCCACAGATAAATCATTTTAACGCCCTGAAGGATAAATAAACAAGCTCCTAGACGGAACACAAGAAGAGGTCCGTATTGCCGATATAGAACCCTGTAAAAATGGCAGGGATATGTAAATACACTGATGGTACCGTGGGTATAGGATAACGTCAGGTAAAAGCCCCTTTAGTGACAGTCAAATAGTCTCCCCTGCATAATTGTCTATCACTCTTTCCCCTCCCTTGGTATGGTCGGCAACCTCCCCCTCAACTCTTTAGATCTCAGTTCCAAGATAACATACCTGTACAACAGAGTGTCAATAATGGTCTGTTAACATATTTGACAATTTATTCTTTTTGGTAACGCTCTGGCATCCTAATTTATAGTACCAGCGATATATTATTGTAACACTGCTCCTGTAGTTGCCGGCTTTTGGCTGTATACACATAGCTATCTAGGTGGGCAATTGTACCAACCGTGATTTGTGTTTTTATTTAGTTTTTATTAAAAGCTAAGTTTTACCTTTGGGAATTAGATATTTGGTATTACACTTCTCCCATTTATTTTCCCTCCTTTGTGAGGGAAACCCACTCTATTAGGACTATTTGGATAAGTCTGTCCTATCCTTCTCCGTTTTCTCTCTCTATTTTTTGCATTTTTGGTGAAGCCGTTCACTAGGGGTTATCCCCCACATAGGAGAAATTTACTTATATCCCTCCCTTTTTCTTTCTTTTTTTGCATTGAATCAGCGCCTTCATGCAGAGTGTGGAGATGCTGAATGCCATGTCAGGACAATACCTGTGAATAATGTAGAATTAAGTTAAACAGGGAAAAACGCAAATGTAGATAAACGTATTACCGGGCCTTAGAATGGCTGGACTTAACGTAGAAGAATGACTAGAAACGAGCCACAGTCAGGGACACAGAAAGAGACAATAATGAATAGACAAGATCAAACGTTAAAGGATACCAAAATTAGAAATGGTCAAGAACAGACCAAGATAACAATACCAGTAGAATAACTATAAGAATATGCTCTCTGATAACCAGCAAGTCAATGCATGCATGTTTATGTCATTAATCACGTGGTCGGAGGCGGCGTTATAATAACGTGCGTAACTACAGTCCCCGGCGTCCTTAGGAATGCCAGACTAGCAAATCAATGCAGCTAAGGCGGATCAGACAGGGAACCGCCATAAAACAGGTTAGCCAACGTCCGTCAAAACTACGTGACCGTACCAATCGTGTGCGGTTATGCGACTGTGCTGATCGGGCACTGTTACACACCTGTACTGACACAGAAGGCACCTCTAGAGGCCGTCCGAGTGACTGCCACTAGAGGTGTTACTAGGCACCAATGAAAACCCTGCCTTTTCTCTGAAGTTAAGGTTGAGGCTGCAAGGACATGCTATAGACACCAGGGCCACTATATTAAGCTTTAGCGATTCTGGTAACTGTAGTGTCCCTTTAAGTGAATGACCATTCACTGAGTTACAATATACAATTTAAACGTGGTGTTATTAGTCAGGCTCTCTCTGACAGCTTATCTGATAAAGTCCAGGGATAAAGGACATTCAACCTGTGACTAGTACCGGTTGTAAACATTCCTTTATGATTTACACACATGAAAATAAACCATGCCCTAATTGCTGTAGCATTGCACAGTATTTTCCAGATACTATCAACATTGAACCCATAACATTGCAGACATAGTTCACCTTTTAGGTCTTAATTAAAGGCAGCCAAATTTACTCTTATCGTGGTGTAAGCAATCATGTTACATGTATTGGGTAACCATTCCATGCATCCACCCAACACATCACATCACCATATTTTTTTTTTTTCCAATTGACAGTTTTTTTATTTTGTCATAAATCAAAAAGAAACATGGGGATACAGAACGAGGAAAGGGGGGGGGGAGGGTAAATACATTGCAGGCTGGCTACACAGACATTGGCTATGCGTAGTCATATACATATAGGTGTACATCGTAGTTAGACATCTACATACATGCGTTTCCTGGTTTACATTGGTTCCAGAGCTTCATTGCTGTGTTACAGAAATTCCCCTTTTGCATATATATGTTGTGTTGATGTCTGTTGGCGCTCTGCATGGCGCCTCTTAATTTATGATTCAAGGGTCGTTAGACTCGCTAGAGTGATTGTGGTTGGGTATTGTGGTGCATGGACTAGTAATATGTTTTACCCATAGGTTGTGTGCTTCCTGTACCCCTTTTCGTGTTCCAAATTGTGTGTTGGCCATTTTTTCGTATGCCCAATTTTGGTCTACCTGCTTTACAAGATCCGCTATAGGTGGGGTAATTGTTTTTTTCCAATGTCTGGAAATCACCAGGTTGGCTGATATTAATGTGTGGTATAGTATCAGC